CGGAGTTTTAAAAGCAAATTTTCAAAAATCAACAATTTATATAATTGAATCAGTTTCCGCAGGACTTTAATGGTTTAGTATGTTCATTAAGACTAAGTACTACTATCGTTATACCAAGTATATCCTCTAATTGTAATATTAACAAATGTCAAAAAAAACTACTCAATTTCTCAAACTTTGATTAACTTTTAAAATTATACTACTTGTCGTAAGGCCATAATATTTCAGTAAGCTCTATAAGACAATGATATATATCGCCAAAAAAAGTTCTATAAAAATCGGCTTAATTTTTTTTCAACAGTTAATTACAAGAAAACGGTCAATAGATTTCCACCTAAAACTAATCAGTATCATTCCCAACTAATATCTTTCGAACAGTTTTTGATTTTTTAAAATCGATTTGGTAGTTTGAGCTTAAATGTGGACGAAAAGTTTAACACTTTTTTTTCAAATTACAAAGAAACGGTTTGGCAGATCGTTTCACATAACTGACAAACGATAGCCCTCATTGAGATACATCAAAAGGCTTTTAAATTTCTGAAATCGGTTCAGGCGTTTCTGAGAAAACGTCGATCAAAGGTCTAATTTTGATAAATGCCAAAAGAACAATACTAATTTTTGCAAACTTTGATGAATTTTTAAAGCTAAACGAGATGTCATAGGGTTGTAATATTTTAGTATGATCTAGAAAGCTATACCATATATGGTATCTACCGTCAAAAAATAATAATAAAAATCGTCGATTTTTTTTTAAAAAAACTTTATTACAAGAAAACGGCCCGACCGATCTTTACCAAAAACTAATCAGCACGATTCCCAAACAATATCTTTCGAACGGTTTTTGAATTTTCAAAATTGATCAAGGATTGCGGGCTAAAATTGTCACACAAACTCAGAAACGCTAGTCCTCATCGAAATACATCGAATGGCTTTTAAATTTTTGAAATCGGTCCAACCGTTTTTGTGAAAACGTCGAATTACGGCAAAAAATCTGTTCACATACACGCACGTACGCACACACACACACACACACATACTTTTTCCAAATTTGGTCTCAATCGGTTCAGAATGGCTTGAAACGTCGAGAAAACATAAAATTAGCGAATCGGATTTTTTGATGAAAACATAAACTTCTCCTTCGGGAAGTTAATTAAACCACTTTTTTGTAGGCTTACAATATTTTAGGATGCTCGCTTAGATCATGAACTCTATCACAACGCAAAACATTTTTTTTTTTTATTTCCCGTTCATAATTTCGCCAGAAATGAACGTTTGAGAACGTTTTGCTAATTTTATCTTTTTTCGGCGTTTTAAGTCATTCTGAAAAAAAATAGGCCAACTTTGGAAACCGTATTTGTTTGTATGTGAGTTGAATTTTCAACCTTACATCAACGTTTTCTCAAAAGCGATTGAACCGATTTCAAAGTTTTTAAATCCATTAGGTATATCTCGATAAAAGAACTAGCGTTAATTAGATTTGCGCGACGATTAGCCGATCCGTTTCTTTATAAATAGGATAATAATACTAAAATACTACGGATTTATAATATGTGTATAAATATCTGATGACATTTATATATGATTTGTATTTTATAAGAAAGAAATACAAATTTTTCATAGAAAACTCTTCTAATACATTAGTACAGAACCATTTAGTAGGGGTTAACCCTTAACTTACGATTTAGATTCGAAAATGTTGGGCCGAAGTTGTCCCATCTGGCGCAGCGTTCGAGACTACTTTCTCACACATACATACAGTTTATCACAAAAATAAAAATGATTTTGTGTTTTATACTTTTGTATAAATAATTAACTTCCTGTAGGATAAGTTATAGTAACCGCGAAAAAATCCAAAATAAAAATTTTTATATATCTTTAAGTTTTAAAGGTTTTTGAACATTTTGGCATACCTGAGAAAAAATAGATATGTTTTGAATAATTCATAAAATATTCGATTCCTACTGATAAGGAGACGTGCTGATTAGTTTTTAGCATAGGCAGGTCTAGCTGTTTCGGGGATACGGGGTAAAAAGTGTAAAAGATTGCATTTGCATTTTTGAGATAACGGAGCGTTCGATTCAAATAATTCAAAAAAATATTTTACTTGTATCGACGAAATGAACAACTGGTAAAGTTTTTGTACAGGCAGGTCCAGTGTCTCCGGAGATCCAATAAAAAAAAAGGAAAAAATAGTGCCATTTGGCGGTCAAAAATGAACATTAGACATATGTACATCGTATTATCAGATATAAAGAGATTATAATAGTAAGTAGAAATTTTCTGTACATTTATATGGGTTCCGTACCAATGTCTACACGTTAGACGACTACGCGACGCTTACGCGCTTTGATATTTCGACTCCAAATCAGCTAAGCAGCGCGAATGCTTAAAAAAATGTTAAAAAAAAAATCAAAATATAAAGAAAGAAATATTTTTTTCAAAAAAGTCTCAAAAATCTAATTTTTTCAAGTTTTGCAGTTTTTTTTTTAATTTAGTTTTTGTTACAGGAAGTTCCAGCAATTTGCCTTAAGGCACGATGCCATGCACCACTAGTTATTTTGTAATACTTTAGATAACCGTACCGGATTATGCTCGTAATGCTTAACCCTTTTCACTCGCATGACGCCAGTCCGGCGGCAAAATTCATAAGTCTCGGAATTCGCGAGTGGAAAGGGTTAATATTTCATTTTGGCCTAATAATTTAAGTGGTTAAAGTCGATTTGAATTATTTGAATAGGGATCACCCTGCATTTTCGTGAAAATTCTAGGCGAGTAAATCTGATATTAATGAGGTTCTGTTTCAAGCCTTGTGGTATAGTGGCCACAATTACTTATTGATAAAAAGAATGATTGTAAAAGAATTTTACAAATAAAATGTAGGAATATATCATCATCTCAATGACAAACAACAGTAACACGTATCTAAACAAACAAAACCTTCTCACATATTAAATAACAGTCTGGGTCTAGGTCTACAAACAAAATTCATTATTTTAAAAAAAGAGCTTTACTCTCTAGCATAATTCTTGTACGACAACATGTAGTTTCAGTGAATGTACAATTTCAATTTCCACACAAATAAAAAAATAAATCTTGTCGATCAAATTTACTGTTTCAACATAGTGATATGACATAGTAGGATTTAATCAAATTTCAAAATGATTTTAAGATCTGTACACAATTTGATATTATGCTAATAGAGCACACCATCGTGGTTGAACAGCTGACCTTGCAGCCAGAAGGTTTTGACTTCAATGCAATGCAATCTTATATCACGCAGCATTGATATAAGATTGCGTTCCTCCTTAAGAATATATGAACAAAAATGTACCCTCGAAAATAGCTCCTTCGAGAACTATGGCAAAAACTATGTAAAAAATAATATAACATTGAATATAGGACTAGATTTAGGATAGGATTAGATTTAGGACATAAATAAAAATAATGTAACTAAACGCAAACAAATAAATAAAAGACCACATCAGCAATTCAAAACAAACCTAACTTTTGTAAACTTATTAACATTTCTATATGGAGCAAAATAATTTCCAAAAATGCTTCGGATAGACATTCTTGCACTTATATAACAATAAGATCATATATAAAAGCAATGATTCAGAATAAATGAGTAAAAAAAAATGCAATGTCAAAAAACATGCTTCTCAACTATGATATAGTGCATGACACGCATAACTCGAAATGTTATGCACGCATAACCCCTTTATAATTAATAAATTTTATATTAGTATATATATATGTATATATATATATATATATATATATATATAAATATATATAAATATATGCATACATATACATATATTTAAAAAAAAAAACAATAAAAAACGAATGTAAGAAAACATGCATGAAAATAACAATTATGTTAAATCCTCTTGCATATAATGACATGTTTTTTTAAACTTGCGATATAACTTTTATAATCCCAATACCAAAAAAAGACACTGGTTCGTTCTGTTATCCATGTACGAACACAGTTTCATTACCAAAATGTGTATAATAAGTCCTGGGATTGACTAACCGTAAACAATGTTAACACATATAATCTTTGCTTTTACTCCTTTTCAAACAAGCATATATAAAAGAGTCACAAGCATCAGATAAACAGTTTCCATGTAAATAAATATGGGAGTGTCAATAATTTTACATGGCAATACAACCACAGTCGTTTGCCTAATAGTAAGACGAGAAAAAACATATGCATAAATATTACACAGTAACTATTGAACTGAGCACACTTAACCCTTTGCACTTCAGCACCCCAAAAATTTATATTAAATGTTGCAAATAAGGTGACAATGAAGTGCAAAACTTAAAGAGAGCAAAATTTGGGTAGAATGAACCTCATAGAAATATATCCTACATAATCCATGTGTATAAATATATATATATATATATATATATATATATATATATTTCCATGCTATTTCCATACGAAACTTTGATTGAATTGCGCTCTATCTAAGCGTTAATATTATGAGCTAAAACTTTCAGAGATTTGTTTTTTTATCTATTTGGAACCATTTGAGCCCCTGGGAGCAAGGAAATTCGAAAATAACCATTTTAAGGATCACCCCCTTATATATATATATATATATATATATATATAGAATTTTATAAAATTTAGAATATATATATATATATATATATATATATATATGCACTTATAAATACATACACATACGCTTATATACATACATATACTTGTATGTATTATATATGTATAAATCAAGACGCATTACAAAAATATTCTTACTTTGAGAGATCCAGTTTTCAATGATCACACTATTCTGTCGATCTGTTTTAAAATTAAAATGAAAGTAAATATGGATAATTGAACGCAAGCAAGCAGGATTCTACAGGTTTCAAATTCTGTAATTCATTGGTACCAAACATTGATGATACAATTATTGAAAGACTAGGATTGATATTTCATTCTACTTAAAATAATGTTGCTAAAACTTATGAGTAAAACAGATAAATTAGCCAATATAATTGTAATTATTCATTTAATTTATTTCATTTTCTACTTTGTGCTTGATTCTAAATATGCTATTAAGTCTGCGCGTTCTTGTGGCTTCTTCAATCCAGCGAACACCATCTTTGTTCCTGGGATATATTTCTTTGGATTTTCGAGATATTCAAATAGTGTGTCCTTGTTCCACGTGATTCCTATAAAAACAATCAGGTAAATAGTTATAAACATGTACATATATATGTAAAATCCAGAATGTAAAAGCTTCACAAAATAATTTGAGTCATTATGAAGAAAATCATGGCAATCTCATAACACATTTTTTTGGATTGAAATAATGACAGTACTTTAATATCCTTTACTAATGTATGCTGAATTCCTCACTATGATAAAATAAAAACAATATTTGTTGAGTATGCTAGAAAAAAAACACCAGAATCTCATACCAATGTCATCTACAAACATAATTCATTATTTGAAAGAAGGAAACTTTACTAATACAAATTGATCAAACAAATTGAGTTTTCATTAAACTAAAATAGTTTTAAGGTTAATCATTTCGAATTGTAATATATCAAAATTTTCTAAAACTAAAAACATAATATGAAATACGAAAACAAAATGATTTTTGTAGCTTAACACGAGAGGAATATTTATCAAATAAAGCAAATGCACACGCAAGATGTTTAGTTATCTCTAATAAAATAGCACATTTAAATAAATCTAAAATACCCTTTGCTTTGTTGGCATCTGTGTACACGAATCCAGGGGCTTGACCAGTTTTTCTACCAAACAATCCATGAAGGTTTGGACCTGTTTTATGTTTGCCTCCTGCTTCAACAGTATGACATTGGGCACAACGTTGGACGAACAATTTCTTGCCCTTTTCTACATCTCCACTTGGTACACCCATTTTCTTGTACTTTTTGATTAATTACAATTAATTGCTAATACTAAAAAGAAAAATTTATGTAATAGTGTTGTATATATTTCAATTAAAATTTGCACGAAATTTTAGTTACAAAATCTACAATTTTTATTAATAAATTCGCAAATAAAATTTGCAAAAGTGGGGTTATATCGAATTATTAACATGTGTTATATAATACGTGTGCGTGCTCTTATAGTATAGTAATACATGGGAAGGATTACGTAAGCTTAGCCTTAACACAGAATTTATTAATTCTAATTAATAATCAAAAATAATATATAGTGAAAAACATTCTAAATAAATAATTCGAATAAGCACGACTTATTTTAACCCAAATTTGGCACAAGAGGTCGATCAGAAACGTCAGATTTGGCGGATTAACAGCTTCAATATTTAAAAATAATTCCAAAACAGACACAAAAACCATATAAAGCTTATATTGCGTACTAATTTTCGTATGTAATATTTAATAAATGTAATTCTTTTTACCTGTTTCACTCGAGCTCCGTCCGTCAGTACGCAATCTCACACCACAAACTGAACTTGCACTAGTAAAGATTTTCGGGACTTGTCATTTCCCTGTTCTATAACTCGAGGTCACCAGTGTTCTTTCGATAAATGTTTCGATTTCGATATTTAGCTTCGATATATATCGATAAATTAAAACCTAATATTATGAGGCGCGCAAATTGAATTCGTAAACGTAATATTTGCACATGTATTGCTATTATAATATTACCCAAATGTTTTTCTCGTGGAATATTTTGTTACATAGAAATACTTATGTTACAATCTGCAGAAGTTCATGATACATTGTTTGAATATCGATTGTTAACTGAAATAATTTTGTGAAGACGTCCATGTTTATATTGTTTGAAGTTAAAAATCTCAAAATGCTTTATATAGAAACAAAGTTTTATTAATTTCCGTAGGGTAAGTTGTAGTAATCGCAAAAAATAGAAAATTAGAAAAAAATGATATATGTGTGTGTGTTATCGGATACAAATTTTCGTCGACGATTTTGGAAACACGGATTAACCGATATGAATAATTCAAAATACATTCGATTCGTATTGATGGCAATACGTGCTGATTAGTTTTTAGCAAAGGCAGGTCCAGCCTTTCAAAAGTGCAGGGCAAAAAGTTCCACAAATGCTAATACAGTTTTTGAGAAAACGAAGCGTTCGATTTTATTAATTCAAAAAACATTTTATACGAGTATGTATTGACAAAATAAAGAACTGAATATTTTTTGGGAAGACAGGTCCAACCGTTTTGGAGATCCAATAAAAAAGTAACTAGTTGTGTATGGCATCGTGCCTTAAGCAAATTGCTGGAACTTTCCGTACCGTAATAAAATTTCTCAGGAATATTAAATGTTTTCATATAGATTATTATAAATACTGTAACATTGTCTAATATTTAGAAGAGTTATATAAACTGAATTACAAAGTTAAAATTATTTATTTAAAGTATATATGTGAGCTTTAGAACTTTATCCAAAATTAAAGTTTAAATCTGAATTATTTTCGATATGCAAAAAAATTTTTTTTTTGAGAAAAAAAAATTTTTGAACATTTTTTTTTCAAAAGCAATTATTTTGTCAAAACAAGTAGAAAGTTTTCTGAATCATTCAAATCGGATGCTTAGTTACCTCAAAAACTGCCATTTTTGCATATTTAGCTAGGTATCTCCGAAACGGCTGGACCTGCGTTTGCCAAAAACTAATCACCACCTCTCCCCGTCATTACAAATTGAATGTTTTTGGGCTATTCAAATCAGATGCTCCGTTCTCTCAAAAACACGATTTCTATTTTCTGCACTCTTTACTCTGTATCTCCAAAACGGCTGGACCTGCCTTTGCCCAAAACTAATCAGTACATCTCCCTATCAATAAGAATCGATTTTTTACTTGAACCATTCGAATCGTGCGCCTGAAAAAGTAGACGAAAAATTGTATCCATCCATACATATACACACACCCATACACGCACATCAATTTTTTCTGAAGTATGCCAAAATGTTCAGAAACCTTCATATATAAAACAAAACGTAAAGAAAAGTAAAAGTTTTTAATTTCGTTTTTTGGACGATTACAATAACTTATCCTACGGGAAGTTATAATTACCCTACGGGAAGTTAAAAAAATGTCATTTGACGGACAAAAATGATCATTAGACATATGCACATCAAATTATCAGATATTCTTAAGAGATTTTAATAATAAGTGCAAATTTTATTTACATTTCTATAGGTTCCGTATCCATATTTATCCGACTGCGACTCGGCATTTCCGCTCTTCGATATAACATCGTTTCTAACACTTCGCAGCGTGATTGCTTTTAAAGTTCAAAATTTTCAAAAAAAAATCGAAATAAATATATTATAGATTTTAATTTTAATTCTGGCTAACGTTCTAAAGCTCACATAATACTTTAAATAAATAATTTTAAATTTTTCAAGAGTCAAATTTTGTAAGAAATTTCGAAATTCTCAAAAATCTATTTTTTTCAGTTTTCAATAAATTTTGAATCTTCTTTCAAAATTGAAATTTTGTTACGGGAAGTTCCAGCAATTTGCCTAAAAAATTTATATTACATATATGAATAATATATTGTGAGATACAGCTCTGTATATTTTATTAAATTTAGGGGACTTTCTATGATACGTTAAAATAAAAGGCACTAAAAACAATTGCTATCAGCATGGTAAAATATATAAAATTTAATTTATTAAATATTAATTACGAGTTACTTTGAACAAGCAACAGAAAGATGAATTCATTCAAATTGCGATTCCAAGAATCTGAGATTCAAGGTTGAGCAAATCACAATACGGTCATTCATGTCGTCAGCAAAAAGCAGTGAATCACACCCAGGGCTGATCAGGGCGACGGTAGGTCGTCGACGAGAACACGTGCTTAGGGCAATGATATTACAACATTACAAGGGCATTTTTTATATATATATTTGTACATTTATTTGCAAATGCCTACTCAAGAACTAGTGAAGCAAACGAACGATTAATATTGCTCAAATATACGTACAGCATAGCCGATAGGAGAATGCGACTTACAACCGATGCCCCTGCAAAATGTCCCATAGTTCTTGGTTGGCGAGGCTTTTTTTGACACCAAAAAATATGAATTTGTAATCTACCAACTATATCGTAAAGCAAAGTAAAAATTCAAAATAAATTACTAAGATATCATAAATTAATAAGATGATTTTTAAATGATGTTGATTTAAAAATAAGCCCTAGGATTTGCGTTGCCATTTTGCACTTTTATATTTGTAAATGTGCTGCTTTTCATTAATATTCTGTCTACATAATTATTAGAAATTCAATAGAAAAAAACTTAAAAAGAACGACTTAAAAACACTTATTGATCGCAAAAATGGCATTAGATTACCACAGTAGTTCTTACACTACATTTTAATGCATATGTTATATTTGTTTACTGCTAAAATTATTTTTCATAGAAAACAAAATTTTGTTTTTTATGAAAAATAATTTTAGCAGTTTGTAACTATTTAAATAGTTCATAATAAAAAGTCCATATTCCTAAAGCCGTTACAATTTGATTAAAAACGTTTCAAAGCAAAGGTTGTACATAAAACATGCAGGTCAACAAGAATGAGGAATAAATTCTTTCTAAGAGCAAAGAAAATAATACATCATTGGATAAGCTCCTTGAGGCAAATCGTTAGAATCACAAAAAATATTTTCCGATATAAAATCACTAAAATGATACATTTTCAGCTTGGTAACGCGATAGTATTATCATACCATATATTAATACGCCACCGAGGCGAACAATATTCAATACAATAGTTTGATATGAATATTTCTGACAAAGAACTTACTACAAAAAATATTAAACATTTTAAGAGTGTGCGCATAATGCGCTAGTATGCGAAATACGCAAAGAATCCTTCATAACGCGTTCCTAAACTAAAATATTTATAAACTACAAAATTAACATCTTCCAACCCCTTAGTTAGGCTGGTATTTTCTTTTCTTTCCTATTTAAATTGTGATGCTTCAAACATGATAAACACAACATAACAAACCATGAAATAGCTAATTACATTTGCGAAATTGCGCAATTTTTGCTTTTTTTAAATCATGATACTTAACTGTATCTTCAATTAAAAATAATTTTATATTTGCAAAACACAAATTAGTTTGATATATTTTTATTTTCTTTAATATCAAATTTATTACTTATAGTAAAAGTTTACATAAAAATGAACACTAGGTATGAAAACGCTCTAAGATAAAAATGTTTGCGTATCATAGATTATGTATAGTTTCAAAACATTGTTGGCATTTTGCAATAGTACATTAGCATTTGATTATGATATTCAGTATTGTGCTTACAAAGTTATCTAAAAATTAAACATTAGATTAAACAATATTGAAGAGTTGAGAAGTATGTAATTCAATGAGTTAATAATAATAAAAAAATGATAAATATTGGTAAAATATAGGGAATTTTATTTATTTAATATAGTAGACATGATACATCGCATGCATTTCTAAAAATCTAATGTAAATTATGCCCCAATAACACATATGTAATAAATTCCACAATGGTAATATAATTGATTAAAATTATCTCATAATATTGATTTTAAAATTGTTAATCGCACTGCCTATACTCGATGCTGTTGCATATTTTAGTCTATCTATAGGCACTTTACAAATCTATTGATAATCACAGAACAGGATGTTTAAGGTACCCTCAGTTTTAGTTATCCTCTTGTAAATATTTCATGCGGATTTTAAGATTAAGGGACCTGAGAAATCTGAGAGTACATTCCATTTAATTCAAATTACTGCATAAACAAAAGGAAATCAATTCAAAAATCACCCTTTATCCTGTGCCGAACAAAGAGCAAATCGATGCATCAAATATAGTTAAATTTGCATTTAGGCAGTATAGCAAACAATAGATATTGAATATCAAAATAATCTACAATAGCAAACACCGATTCTTCTTGTTTTTCTTAACTTGTAATGCGGCTCTTGTGGCGGTCTCAAATACTTCTCGTACTCCTTCTTTTGATTTAGCAGAACATTCTAAATATGCAAAGGCATTTATCTTCTCGGCCATGGCACGCCCTTCCTGTGGCTTCACAGGTTCCTGTTTCATCTTACTTAACTCTTTGATTGTGTTTGGGTCATTGCGTAAATCTTTCTTATTTCCAACAAGAATAATAGGTACATTTGGACAAAAGTGTTTCACCTCTGGAGTCCATTTTTCTGGAATATTTTCTAATGAATCAGGTGAGTCGACAGAAAAACACATCAGAATGACATCAGTATCAGGATAACTGAGAGGTCGCAAGCGATCGTAGTCTTCTTGTCCGGCGGTATCCCAAAGGGCAAGTTCAACTTGTTTTCCATCGACTTCGATGTCAGCCACATAGTTTTCAAAAACAGTTGGGACATATACTTCTGGAAATTGATCTTTGCTAAATACAATCAGCAAACAAGTTTTACCGCACGCTCCGTCTCCGACAATCACTAACTTTTTTCGAATTGCAGCCATTGGTTCTGCCAAAAAAATCAAAGTTATTATTATCCGTCAACGCCTATTGACTTATGAACAAGTAACAAAATGGCTGCTGTCTATCTGCTCGAGAAAAGAATCAACGTTCACAAATAAAATGAATTTAACGAATAAGCACCTGGATTTGATGAAGCAGAACAGCACCACATATCATGTCACTTCACCTTCATGCAATCAGTTATTCCCTATTACTATCAATTATATACCTGTTTAATTTATTATTCAGCAGTTATTCTTTAATAGACCACTATATCCAACTTCGGTGCACTTGTCATACACTGTCGGCAATTCCACATATGGACTCTGAAGTTGTAACGAAACACACTACCAACTACCAACCGTTACAGAAAACGATGAGAGGCCATCTCAACCGATTGACTAACGCAGGCTTTAAATAGTAACGTAGATAAATCATGACACCCTAGACAATATTAGAATACCCCGCGTTCATATGCATGACACGATACATACAAGATAAAATACATGACATAGTTTATGTTCATATGTTCGTTAAAAATAAGCAATATCATATTGTAACTTCATTATGTTTGTTCTTATATACTTATACCCAAATTTCAGACTTTTTGTGTTACAACTCTTCGAGCAATAGCATTTATATTTTTACGTTCTTTAAGAAAAGAATAAGCATTACAATAAATTATTGGTCGAAACATTATTTAATTATTAAGGTTATTATAAGTTTATTAATAAAGCTGAGATATGTCATATTGCACACAATAGTGATCCTAGTATAGTATAAATTATAATCGAGTATAATAAAAGTTAATAAATGCATATTGTTCTACCATATATTTGTCTCAGTTTTTTCAACAATAGCCTTCGCGATTCAAATACTAGTCAATTTACTATAATTTATTATAATTTACTCTAATACATTTACTATAAGCACGTATTGATTTGCTTCAAGTTGCCTCGTTACAAAAAGGATATGCTATCTAATTCATAATCTCTTAAATGTAATCAAATTTAGAATATAAAAAAATAATAAATGCAAAAAATATAACGTTGTTATGTTTTTAATTAGAATTCAACTGAAAACTTCAATAAAGTGAAAAAAAATAATATATAAACATGATCAATAACTTATTATGGCATATATATATAATTATATACATATATTTTTTATATTTACGGAAATTTATTGTTTTGTTTATTCTGTATAAAATTTTATTTATTGTCATGTTTATTATGTATAAAATTTCATAAATTAATTTAAATTCATTTTAGTTATCATCAGAGTCTAGATGGCCCTTTATATGAAGTGAATTTTCGTTATGTCGATCAGTGTTGACGATGTTTACTATTTATGTTCATGAAATATACCTAACCTCCAAAGTGAAAAAAATGAATCAAGTTAAATAAAATAATTCTCTTTAATGAATGTTAAGTCAGAACTAGATGATATACCTTACTGTTCGGTTATAGATAATCTGATATATGATTGTTTTAAGGACGCATTTAAGTGAGAATATTTGATAATAAATTAATATGTGGCATAAAAATAAGCAACTTATATACTTATAATTAATTAGCTGTAGCTTAAGAATGCTTTAAGAAATTATCCTATTGATTAATTATTAAATTTTATCGAATTTAGTTCATACCTACTTAATTTCATATATTCTATTTACAGCTCTTTTATAAAATGAAATTGATCAGTAGCACTCTCAAGGGAATGCAGAGTTCAAAAATAAAAGATTTACCTACAAGTAAATGTGAAAATCCAAGTATCAAACATGGAGAATCTTTATTGAGTTACGATCAAAGCCAGTTTTTAAGAATAGCTCTGGAAGGAAATGATTTTTCTGATTCAACTATTTCAGCAAATGTTAGTATAACCATGTATATGTCTTCTTGATTTTTGTATGAATTTATATTCATAGTAATTGTTATTCATTCAAATATAACTTTGTTATGTTATATTAAAGTAGTCGCTGTTCATATTAAACATTTCATTTCGTTTTATTTTTTAATGAGAATAGCTGATTAGGTTGCAACTAAAATGCATATACTTTTGTAATAAATTATTTCCTCAATTATATTGAAAGTTGTTTCTTCACTTGTTTTTAATATATCAGTTCTCTAATTTTTAGTTCTCACCAGTTATAGCTTATGTGAAAGTTATGTTTAACAAAGGTTTTGAATTTTTTAGACAAACACAGAATTCAATATTCCTCACGATTCAACTCTGGCAAAGAATCAGCATATAACATTAAGTGCATCTTCTACAAATAACTCTAACGTTGCTTCAGTTTTACATGATGGGATCTCCAGCATAGAAACAGTGGATGCATCAAAATTAATCTCTTTTTGCGAGTCCAGAGGTACAAAGAGATTGGGTATATTTCGAACACTTTATGAGAAGACTAGAGAGGTATATAAAAGACTAGAGATTTAATATAAAACTCAACTCTGAATATTGAAGAAATTTTTTTTTAGTCTTTTAGATTGAAAAAAAAAATTGAAGATGGAAAGAATGAAGTATCCTCGACACTTTCAAGATGCTCCAGTCATTTTATTAAATATGATACATGCGATGAAAGTATAATTGAAGATATGTTATGTGAAATTAATAAAAGAAAACAATTACTACTAGCCAGAAAGCAGTGTTTTTTAAAAAAGAAATTTCAGGACACTGCTCAACAAATTGAAGTAGAGAGGCAGCTACTATATTCAGGTATATATCAAATTATGTTAATTAATATTATATAATGGTCATAGAAACTGTTTTGATTTATTCAAATAACAATAAATAAATGTAGTAAAATAACGCAAAATGTTACCTTGCTTTGTTCCAAATTCTAAATAAATTTATTTAGAATTTGAATAAATTTATTATTTATAAAAATCTCATTTTTATCAGAATTTGAATATATTCATTATATATGAGTTTTGTTTTTTAGCATTTGCAAAAGAATATTCAATAAAAAAATTATCAAAGTTTTTTCAATTAATTTTGTCAAAACAATATTCAATAAAAAATCTATCGAGCTTTTTCCAATTAATTTTGTAGAGTACTGTAAAACTTATTTATTCCTTTAATTGTTTCATGAGGAATTATTATTTAGTTAATAGTATTTACAATATAAGTACTAATTTTAAATAAATGTATATAAATTTATTCATCTGCTGCTTTAATAAATCTCGTTATTACTACTTTAATACAATTTTAAAGTTGTTTTGCATTTCAGATGCTAAACTAAAAACTTTGCAAACATTTCTATCTAAAATTGACTATGAAGAAAAATCTTTTAAAATATCGCAGAGCAGTGGATATATTAATGTGACAGATCTTATTGTTCCGGTCAAGGAAAGAAATAAGAAAGATTTCAGTGAATACTATGTTTGTATTCTCTATCATGATCAACATGTTTATATGACAGATTATATCAAAGCCATGGATAACAAATTTGTATTCAATGGAACAAATATATGTTTTAATAATATAGACAGCGACTTCGAAATAAAAATAGAATTTTTTCTACTAAAGCTTAAAAAATCCATTAGAAATTATAGTCATGAATCAAGATACAATTTAAAAAACGTAAGTATAAAATTCTATTCATATAGAGATATTTATATACTATTTTCAGTACAAATGCTTCAAACTATCAATATAATTGCTCTTGATCTCAAATACTCAATCCATAATTTCAATATAAAAACGATTCTGCTTTATAACATACAATGCAAAATATTTTTGATGACTTTCTGCAAATCATCAAAATCTGAAAATCTGATTTTCTGAAAATCATATCAAGAAAATGGTTCTGCGTTATTATTATTTGGGAAATTTTAAAATTATTTTGAAAACATGTTCTTTACACAAGCGCATCATGAATAAAGAAGGATATCATTAATAATAATGTAAGGAATTTTTGTTTTACCATTGTAATTTCCAAATAATAAAATTGTGAAGAAATATTTTATTTCCTTTGTTGTTTAAGGTTTTTATGCAAAATAATGAACATAAAGTGGTTACTTGAATTAAAATTAAGACTTACTTCATTGAGATGGATTATTAAATTCTTTTTGTAATTATTCTAGGATAGCACATGCCCCACACCACAATTACTATTATCACCTGCAAGATCATTTCTTCGACCCTCTAAAAATTGGCCAGTTTCTAGATATAGGGCAGATAGTGAAAAATCTCAATTTGTATATCAGGGTTCTCTTACTCTGAATCTCAAAAATATTAGCTTATTTGGTAGCTATATATTAACTGATCTACCTTCTGATAGTAGCATTGAAGGAGTGGTTGACATATCGCTAAGTGCTAGAGTGCGTCTTCTTCAAGCATTTTCTGGATTTCTAACGATTGGAAATGAAATTGGGGGATGTGCTTACTGGAATAGAAAATGGTGCCGATTGGACGGTTTCATTTTTAATTATTGGAATTATCCAGAAGATGAAGGCTGTAAGGTATAAATTTGTACACAAATTGCTATGTGTTAAATGTATTGTAGTAACTTTTTAAAATACTTTTAGAGAGAAGTTAATAAGTAATAGTGTATAAAAAATTTCAGATTCCATGTGGTACAATTGATTTGCGTTATTGCAATAGCAATGAAATTAAACCAGCGAGTCGTCAGATATGTTCACGGAGTTTCACTCTGTTGATAGAAACTAAACAAACTTGCAAACCCCGTGACCGAACTTCTGTGAGTTGTTCTATGACACATTTTGTAGAAAGACATTTATTAGCGGCGGATTCAAGAGCTGATTTGGTCAAGTGGCAAGATGTTTTTAATAATGTTATTTGCACATTGAGACAGTGGAATACTTTGATTCCCAATTCTTTGCATGAACCAGATGAATATATTATCTAAAATTTATGTGATTTTTAATTATTTTGATAAACAAAAAATATATCACATTAATTTCAATATATACTTCTATCACAAACAAAATGAAGATGTATTTTTTATAATATGACTTTTTAATATTTATGTAGTATTTAAATAACTTCTAGTATATTTGTGCCAACATTTATATGTATGTCTGAAAGACTGAAAAACTTAGTGCAGTAGTATAACATTCCAATAATACTAAGATGAATTGGTTCCTCAAATTTAGTAAGACTGATTTGATTTAATAATATATATGTAGATAATAATTATTATGTAATTTAATGCCATAAAAGTTTCACTGATTTTTATAATGGATTATTAGTGAATGAGTGATTTATATATGAACAAATTGACATTGTATTTGAAGACTGAAGATTCTTGAATCTGAGATATTATGTATGAAGCAAAAGCAATTTTATTAGAAATATTTTATTGATGTTGACTATATATATTGTTAGCATTTTGGTACAAATAGATTTTAACAATGTTAATAATGGGCTACTTTTAAATTTATAGCAATGATGTATTATTAAAAATAATAACATTCATATAATGAATTTGATATTTTTTAACTTGAACACTGTTGTAAAGTTGTTTATAAATATATTATTCACTCTTTGATAACAAAATCTTTTGTTTAAAATGCAGATAAATGCAAATTTTTTATCCATGTTTTGGAAAAAAACTGAACCTATTTCAAAAATTTAAAAACTTGGAAATTGTGCTGATTAGTTTTTGCTAATATTTTTTAATCCCGAAAAAAATACTATTTTGATCTAATTTCAATATTTCATTCACTCACTGCCACGCTACAGAAGGGGGTTTTAATTAATTTGCTGTATCTTTTACCAAATAGTATTTTCTTTTTTTAAAAAATCTGGTGGGATTTTATCTGTAAATCCATAAAACGAAAAATCCACTTAAATAATCGTTAGATAAAAAGGATTGAAAGAAATGCAGAAAAACAATAATAATTCAAATAAATTAATTTTCAAACGATTGTTCTTAAGAAAGTGAAAAAATAGTTTGACATCATTATTAAAAATCATTCCAAAGATTAATAGTGTTTTATCTAAACGTAATTTTTTTATAAAATTTATACTCCAGTATATTGATATAAAAATCTTTTTTATATAACTTGACCGTGATTTAGTAAATATAAAATCTATTGAATTTGATTGAGTATTTAAAATAAACTTACCAACGTTCCAAGAAATAACGACTTCCCGCGTTTCAAGAAATACACTTTGAACTATTTCAAACTTTCTTCATATCCTTTTTTGTACAATTAGGGCTAAATGTTTGTGTTCATTTGCGAATATTACCCAATTTCATATCCATATCCGTCGATAGATTCCTGATCGCAGTCGATTTCGGATTTCCAATTAGTCTTAACGACCTTTTTACGCTATTTCTAAATCTGTTTTCAACTATTATGCAGTCGTTTATTCTAAGGGTACAATTTTGTATTCCGCTTTTTGAAAACCATGAGATTGTTTCTGAGAGAGAAATCAACTGCGATATCACAGATAATCGTCCCTTAATTTTCTCCTAATACTTCCCGAGATCCTGCATTGCGATAATTTCGTTAAAATCTCCAATAATCACCACGTTGATACCTTGTTATCCTGGCCAACAACACTATTCTTATCTAACACATATCACTATCTGTTTGTAGATTTGATCCATCTCCGGCTCGTCGTGCACTGTATGTATGTGTACACTTGCATCGCCAGCAATTCTACCGGCTGCGCATACAGTTTCACGCAGCTCACATTCGGTACTTCTTGCTACTTTGCTGTGTACCATGATTGCGGAATCATCTCTCTCGGTAACACATTTCTTCTCATGCCGCCTCAACTCAACCAGCTCCACGACATCTATTTCGCAGTTGTCCATTTCTCATTTGAAGTTCTCCAGAAAATCTCTTGCCAATATTGTATTGGCATTGTACATTGTCAACCTGGAAGGCCATTCGACCGTAGTTTTGTTGCTAATTTTCTGCTTCCTCCCGTAGATCCGAACAGGAAATCTTAACTTCAAAATATTTTACGGAGGAGAAAGAAAATCATATGATTCCTTTCCTTGTACAATATTCTAACACTTAATATTAACAATAAATGATCTGGCATTCACCATCTCCTTTTCACGTCACAGCGCATCGAGAGTCACTTTGGGCATTGTTTGCTTTGTGGAACTGATCATTGTTAGTAACAACATTTTCAAACTTCCGTTTCTATGCTGCCAGGTCTTGTGCTTCGGTTTTTAATTTTCTGTATTTTCTCTTCTGGCTTAACTCGTAAATCATCATTCTTCTTCTATTTTACCATCGACGATGTCGTGCAGTAAGGACTAATTTTGCATTATTGGTGCGATAGTTCCATTTTTCATTTTTGGTTTTGCTCAGTACAGTTTCTTTTCTCCCAATTTCCTCTGCAGTTCATATTGATATATAATATATATTCCTATTTTGGCAAAACAATAAACGCAAACTTATTCCGTGAAAAAACTTTATTAATTCAATACTAACATAATATTTAATCAAACGACATTTTTGATGATACAATGATTTAGATCAAATTCAAATGGAATATATAACAAAAAATGCCAAAATTAATGCAAACAATACTAATAATTGTTCATAAATTTTATCAGAATTGTTATCATTTTTCTAATATTTGATATTTATCATCATCTATTATTATATATACCATATATAATGTTCTTATGTATTAATAATATTTTATGCATATGTATTGTATGCTTATCTTATTAGTAAACATCATTAACATTGCTAAATAAACATGATCCAATAACATCTAGTATACTTATATAATATAGATTTTTAAAATATTAAATTCTAAATTTTCGATTTTCGCCCCTTAAATTCTATTGACACTAATAAATATATAATGACTTATATAAAGATTGAGATAATATCAAAATTATGAATTTAGAAACATAATGATTCATGGTAATATTTAATTATAAATATAAAAAGATTAATATAAAAATAAAAATATTAAGAAAATTAATTTTATATATGCATTTACTTTAAACCAATAATTTAAAGTACTTCATTTATCTATATCTTTTTAAATATTATTTTAATAATATGTATATATACATATATAAAAGTTATAATTTAACAGTCTATTTCATTAAATATCGTAAAATTTTATAATCATGTAAACACAAACGTGCACATGTGTATACATACATGCATATATATACATATATATATATATATATATATATATATATACATATATACACACAAATGTTCTATATATACATACATATATACTTATGTATACATACTTAAATATATACGTACATATATATGTATATGTATGTATATATACATACAAATTTATATGAACGTACACAAACATGAAAATATACATCTATATTGCACCCCCGCTTCTAAATAAATGACCAACCGATAGTTTTTGAGTAGTACCAAAACAAACTGATTTTTTAAGTTAGCTATTGATCACAGTGCGCATTTTGAACAAATTCGAAATTTTAGATTGACCAGGATGTAACATATGTTTTAAGGCCTGTTCACGCGAAGCTTGTTTCGTTGTTTTTTTGGTCGGCTGGCTGGCATGCTGGTTATCAGTAGGCAAAATTACGGGTTATCCATTTCCATTTGTTTCCAGCAAGCGAAATTTTGATATTGGAACGTGCGCTATTTTTTGGATGGACCATACAACTATCAACAAAGCCCGAATCACACGACATTCGTTTTCTGTGCTGGCTACATTAGCATGCTCGATTTTTAAGTGTGATTTAGTTCAGCCTGCTTGATTTTTGAGCGTGATTTATTTTAACTTGCTAGATTATCAAATAGTATAAATCATGTGACCAAATACTGCCTCCCCATTGGTTAGAAGGAACAAATCCATCTACAAAAATAGCCCATGTTCTAACTAACCTAACTAAATCATGATGACACTTTGCCTACTTGGCAACCAGCATGCTAGCCAGCAGACTAAAAAAGCAACGAAGCAAGCCTCGTGTGATTAGGGATTTGAACGTGCGCTATTTTTGTGGATGGATTTGTTTGTTCGAATCAATAGGCAAATGGTATTTTGACATGTGGTTTATTACATTTAAAAATCTAGCAAGCCAAAACCAATCTCGCTCAAAGCAAGCAAGCTTATGGCAAGCTTTTTCGCAAGGCGTCGTGTGAAAAGACCTTTAGAACCGTTTTTCTTGTCGCCATTGGAACCGTCACTAATTCATGTCTCCGCAATAAATAGAAGCACCTTTCATTAAGTTTCTCGAAAATTCACAAAGTAATTAATTCGAAACATACCTGATTATCTGTATATAAATATAATCAAAAGAGTTGTATAGGACATTATAATCAAAATTGGTGATAGCTGCGTGCAGTTTTCTTTTTTTATATAATTATAATACAATCAACCATGCAACAGTAAGTGCAATATACATATATGGGTTTTTAAATATTTATTCACTCATTTATTTGTTGAAACTACAGTCATTTTATTAATACTTTTGTTTATCAATTGTTTTTTAATATATTATAGTTTTGGGCACACAGATATACATACAGACACTATATACTGTAGTACAATACTCACAAATATGTGTTAATTGCATTATATATATATATATATATATATATATATATATATATATGCATGCGTGTATAATTATATACGTTTATATAAGGTCACATTGTTTCCGGAAAACTATAAATTCAAGATGAAATGCAAACGTATATTATTTATGAATTTATTTAATAAACAAAAAAAAATTATAATTAATCAACAGATTTGTCGTAAAATTTGTGCAATAGTTAAGCTCTTTTTGATTAGATTGTTGTTTGATTACGCAATTTTCACTTTATGTTAAAATAAATGTAGTATATTTTAGTGATCATAGCTGCAAATACGTGAAGTTCCATTCTCACTTAATCAGCAAAAAAATATAATTTGTGTTAAATATACATAAACTGTAACTCAGTTTTAAGTGAAAAACTTTTATGGAAGCAATTTTTTTTACAATTTACTGCATAAATAATAATAATAAGCAAATAATGTACAAAACTATTAATTGGCACAGTTTGTCCGAAGCACACGATATAAATAATTTTTGCCGAATAACCGAGTTAAAGCTTTTGAAAAAAAATATGAGCTATTGAGAGATATACACTGTTGTACTTTTATATATATAAACTGACTGCAGATACTTCAGGATATACACAAATTATGGGTTAAATCTGAAATCAGTTTCTTCGCAAGGTTATCATCATAAACTAAAAAAATTTTTTAGATACTTTGAATTATAAATACTTCACTATTGAGCTTTCTGTGAGTGGAAATAAGTTGTTACAATCACAGTAATAATTTTGCTTTTGGTAACTTATACAAAGACCGTTGACGAATTACTCGCACATAATTCTATTATTTTTTGTGAATCTTTTTCTTACGGTTATTTGAAAACATTTTTCGATATAAATAAAAACATAGATATCCATTTTTATCCCATTTATCTCATACTACGTCTACCCCATTTTGGCCCACCATTATGCCCATTAAGGGATCATACACAGTCATTTTTCATAAATAACACATTTATAAATAAAAAATCTGTAATACATTTATTACATTGTTATTTAGTTTTCTAATATTGTATATAGCGCCACAAGATAATGATTTTCAATAAATTAAAGACTTCCTTTTTCCAGCTTGCATTTACTTAATTTTGAAAGCATAATATCTTGGCATTACATGCCTAGAATTTGTGTATAACATATTCAAGTCTTATAAAAATAATTGATAAATAATTATATAAATATTGAAAATCATAATCGATACAACGCAAGAGTATATAATATGCATAAGCAAGGAAGAAACATGTTTGTAACTGATTTTACAATATCACTTTCATTTCCTTCATCATTATAATTGGCACATTTTTATCAACATTTGTAATTAATACTTGTTTGAAATTTTTTATTGAAATTTAATATATATAATTTACTAGATTCTATTCTTTTACCCGATTATTTTAGTCTAAAATTTGATTAATGAATGATGCGCCGATTTGTGTGAATACACAACACGTTCTCTATACATTGTACATAATCACAATAATAATTTCAGTAAAAAAAGAATTATTAGTATGAATTGTTGTCTTTTGAAATTATCAAAAATTACAACCATTTACTTTTTATGTAATATTCCAGGAAATTTTTCAGATTCAACGATTATTACATAGAATTTAATGATCGTATCCTTTGAACATTTGACCTTTTGTTTTAATAACATGAGGAAACCATTATGTATATGGAGCTTTGTTATAAATGCACATGAAATTTCAATTTTTCTTTCTATGATTGTGCAGTATTCAAACAAGCATTCAAACTTCAATGCTACTACTATTGGTAATTATTTTCTTATAGAGAACTAACAGAGCAAAAATGAAAAAAAAATCGCTTTTCGGTGCACTGTAGAAGATGCAAAGAAAGAAATTGCTTCTATATATTTTATTGCTCTCTGTTTCTTGTCATCCATACAAGAAAAAAGAGAATCTTGTTTTGTAATATCTTCAAACAGTTACACTTGTGCACTTAGGTATGCTTTTGTAAAATCATGTAATAGATAATGTGTTGTTTAAATATCATTATTCTTATATATAATTATTAAAAAATTAATTTAGCATTAAAAGATAGGCTAATAATTGTCTTTTCATAACGTTTTTTTAATAATAGTCTAATAATTATCATTTCATAATTTTTTTTTAAAAAAAATAACTTATCGTCGAAATAGTGATGATAAATAAATAGGGGAGACTGGGTACGGTTGTACTAGGTTACGGTGGTGGCAGTCATTATAACAGTTAAACTATCTGATTTTGAGATAAAGTCCAAAGAGAAAAAGATGAAGTATGTTACATCAAACAAGTTTCCATTATTTCCTCGTAGACAAATGTTCAAAATATCATTTAATTTACTTTTCTTCCAGCTAACTGGTAAATTAACAAAATTATTGCTCTCCTATCAATTAAATTAATTATCCTCTAAGTACATATATGATAAAAAATTCTCATAATCATTATTAAAACTTATTGTTTACATATAATAGATATTTGATAGTTTTGAAAACTGAATTATTAGTTATTAATTATTATTATTATAAATTATTAATTACCTTCCATAGATAAAATTGTTATTATTGCTCGTCTAATTAAATTTCTACAGTGATCATATAATGCGCTATAGAATTTTTTTGTAGTTAGTTTGATTTGCTATACAGATAACTATATCAAAAATAGTAATATTGAAATTTGCGCAAATAAAATATAAAATAGTAATAAATAAAATTAAAATTTTACGTGCAAACGCTCCCTCGATACGTAATTCCTCACTCTATTCCTCATTACAAAATCAATCGTAGACTTTTTCTAATTGGATTTTTATTGTAACTTATATTTTCTGTCTTTGACTTTGAAATCTGTGTTTTTATAAAAAAGTTTTGCAGAATATTTTTAATAGTTTCAAAATTTTAGAGCTATGCGACAGTTAATATGTCTTTTATTAGTTTACTCTCTAATTTTGAGTAAATTAATCTTTAAATCTCTGTAAAATATCAACAATTTGGATTTCGAATGAAATAATATTCCTTTGATGACTATGAATATTGCATTAGTAGTGATTTTCGAATATTACTTCAATGCAAGTTTCATATTATACTTTCATATATCTTTGTATTTCCGTTCAAACACACATTAGTATCTAATTTATTTTATGATATTCCCTATTATATACGATTTCAGATTTGTTCTATATAATATAATATTTAATTTGTCCCTTGTAACACTACGTGCTTTCATTTCAGTCCTAAATATTTGCGACTATGGTTACATAAGACCATGACATATTTTTTAAATGCAAACAATACTCGTAGTTGTGTCGACTTAATATGTAAACTATAATTTTAATAAAATTATATTTATATTTAAGAATATAAAACCTAAGTTAAAATGTATAAAGTTTGATAGAAATGTTGATTTAGTAAAATTTGGCACAACAATTTGTTAATTAATAATAGTAATAAAAGTAATTAAAGCTTCATATAATATCATATCACAATTATATTCGAATAGACAAAAACACGTCTGAATTATTTATGGAAAGCACCTCTTAGGAAGCTTCGGTTTAATAAAAATTGATTCTTGTGCATCAAAATTATTTTCATCACGACTAGATTGATAAATAAATTTCGAAATTATAAACAATTCAACACCACCTGCTGAAATAAAATTAAATACAATGCACCGGGCCGTTTGATAGAATATCATAATGTAATCAACTTTTTATAGGATTGACTAAAGTAGTTATAGTTTATTTAGTATGGGAGATCATGCGATTAACAGTTTTATATCGATTTATATATGATAAATTCTAAATATGATTAACAATTTTAACTCCGTGAGTGTACACGTGCAAATTATACTTGGTAACATATCTTTATCATCTTATTATAATTTAAATGTAATACTTAAAGTTACATTATTTGTTTGTAATTTAAATCATGTTAATCGTTTATTTATAAAATTCTTCATTGGTTATATCTAAATTAATTTTAAAGTACAATACTGTTCTACAAATAGGTATTACAATTGATTTATCTTACTCGTACCACACCTTTTATTAAACGCATTTTTTAGTTAAAAATTATTATAAAGTTGCTTTAAAAAATGTTACGTCATGTCGATTGACAAAAGGTGTGATAAAATATATAAATTAATTTGTGCTTGGTAATAAATTGATAATTTTCATAATGCAACAGAAGTATTAACTTAAAAAGAAAGTGATGTCCAATACGTATCATATACAAAAAACACACCGATGCGCACAAACGAATTCGTACGCACATACGAAACAATTCTGATACAGTATGCATATTACATTTACACCATATTCAGTTATATATGGTTGTATATATATATACATACATATATATATATATATATATATTAGGGTGGTCCTTAAAAAGGTCATTTTCGAATTTCCTTGCTCCCAGGGGCTCAAATGGTTCCAAATAGATAAAAAACAATTCTCTGAAAGTTTTAGCTCTTAATATTAACGTTTAGATAGAGCGCAATTCAATCAAAGTTTTGTATGGAAATAGCATGCAAAAATTTTCAAAAATTAAAAAAATGTTTTTTAGATGTAATTTAGCGAACAAATGAATGAATAAAACTCATTCATTTGTCGCTAAGTTACGCCTAAAACACGTTTTTTTAATTTTCAAATTTTTTACCATGCTCTTTCCATACAAACTTTGATTGAATTGCGCTCTATCTAAACGTTAATATTAAGAGCTAAAACTTTCAGGGAATCGTTTTTTATCTATTTGGAACCATTTGAGCCCCTGGGAGCAAGGAAATTCGAAAATGACCTTTTTAAGGACCACCCTAATATATATATATATATATATACAACCATGACATACTTGAAGATACATGCAGTGATCGATGCATACGTAAAGTCATATAGAATATAATAATTTATTGGTGCTTATCTATAATTAATAATTTATTTACGGTCCTAGTGGATCACGTGGTTTCCAAATCGGTGAACCTAAAAATAATGATATTTGTAAAATTTCAAATAAATGATATATAGACAAATTAACTGGCAATACGATGATAAAAAAGGGCAAATCATAATTTTGAGCTACTACTAGATTTTTTTATCAATATACAAGTAAGAAGTAGATTGTATTAAAGATTGAAATGGTATTTACAAAAGTTTCTATAGCTCATTTTGACAAAGGTGATCGTAATTATAACAGAAGACCTGTTTCCATTTTTTGCTTTCATGTGTTCGAATAGAAAAGAAATAAACCCATTGAGTAATTTTAGAATGGAGTGCAAAATATTGTGTACTGTTTTATTGAATATAGCAGACAAACGAACAAATGATTTTTAAATCTTAATATCTGCTATATATAGAGTAGGGCGGAGTACAAAGGTCCAATTTGACTTTGAGAAACTATATTGTAAAAACCAAACCAATTATATCACAACAAATAGCAATTATCAAACAAGCAACTATCTGACTATGTTCAGTGAAACTTACAGCTAATTTCATTCATCATTGTAGAAATGTGTTATTTTTAAAAAATTAGTCACCTATCCCTTTTTACCCCAAAGACTCTTTCTAATTTTAAAAGAATTTTACGAAATAATAGCTACATTGCCAAAAATAAATTTCATGGGACATTATTTACAGAGATAACAATGTATATAACCTTGATCTGTTTTTTTGTCAGAAATATCAGTAGAGTTGGAATTACTATATTTATTTATTTATTTATTATTTTTAATTTATCTTCTGTAAAATTGCTTTTTTGAACTTAATTTACTTTTTTGTTTCCTATTTTTATTATTTACACTTTGTCCAGGGTAAAGGTTCAGCTGGTTCTGTTTACCCCACCCACTTGTAAACTTTAATCGAAGTTGTATACAAAAAACCATTGAATCTAAATACATTTTATAAAACAATTAAATAAAGTATACTTAAAATTTATAATAAGATCTCGTAAATTAAACTACAGTGCTCACAACCAAAAAAACTAAAAACGAAAGAAAATACTTTTGTTCCGGATTTTCAAACTTTGCCATATATCTCCCGATTTTAACGCCGTAAAAATCAACGTAGTGGCTGGTTGTACATCCTTTTACCTCCATTTTCAAATATTGTCGTTAAAAAACTCTTAACTAGTTATTACAGAGGTATCGGTGGTAGACCTTTTTACCCGTGGACCTTGAAGCCCCGCTATACCGTAAACCCATCATCTTTAATCGATATCTTACCAGCGTAACTTACACTACTACACAAAACAGGGAGCGACCCAACTTCAATAAGAGCAAATTAGCTGGCGATTACAATAGCAAATACATATATTCATTTTTCAGTTTAATAAAACATTATTTAGTACGAGTTATTCTAGTCAACACCGGATTCGGAAACCGACAGAATGGTCTACTGATATCAACTGTTGCTATAGTTTCCACCTCAATTACAAGCAAGATATTCTCAAATCATAAATATATTTCTAATTCTATTATATGTAAATATGTGAACAAAATTGAAATATATACCCAAATCCTTATAAGACGTGCCCTGATCTCCATCGACGCGATCTGTTCCTCCGAGAGTCAATTTATCCGTTTTCTTTGATGAGTGAACCAGGCGTGCCCTCGTGTCGCCGCAAGAAAGGGTTGATGTTGAACTAAATTAAATAAATAAGCAAAGATAAAAATTAATAACAATTTAAGTCTTGTACTGCCTTAATGTTTTACAAAAAAAAAATTACCTTAATGTTAAATGATTGGGAGTCTTTCCTAGAATTTTGACTTTTTGTTTAGAAACCTCATCACTTTCTTGATCCTGATTATTTTCTGTAAAATAAAAGGATGTATAAATAAATCAATATATCTATATATATATATATATATATATATATATATCGAATTTAAATACATATATTGAATATTTAAAGTGGAAGCATTGGCAACCTAATTTTGTACTCAAGACCAATGATAACAAATGAAGAAGTATTGCCATTAGTGCGAGAAGTAACAACTAATCTAGATTTTATTGTACAACCGAAAAAAAACTAAATCAAAACCATGTTAGTAACGTGACCATATTTTTCATGTCAAAACCTGGAAGAAAATTGTAGCTATGCTTATCCGAGACGGAATAGAATAAACAATTTGTTTTAATCAGAATTACTAGCAAGTAAAAACTTTATTATTCTATTATATGTTATACAGTATCTTATATTTTTTTATTTACTTGTCTTTTTGCTTTTAATACTAGTATTAAATTGTGTTCAATTTTCTTCATAATTAACTCAGAATTTAAAAAAAAAATTAATACTCTGTACCAAACAGCCAAAAAGTTAGTTTTCAAAATTTGCTATGCTATGTTTGCTAATTTTTGTAAAATTCAAAGTTAAAGTTTGGAATTATTAATGTGAGAGATAATTTTAAACAGCCTTTGGAATTTTGCTTTCGATGATTTTCAGATATTTGATGGGTAATTGTAATTTAATTATCAACCTATCAAGTTATAGTGAAAATTCAATTGAAACTTATAGTTTTCGAAAACCTGGGACAAGCCGGCACAAAAGATCTAAATCCAGGTCAAAAATTGCTGTTAAAAACGGAACACAAGGTAAAAACTCGGGACTGTGTCTCGGACAAACCAGGACGTCTGGTTATTTTAATAATAGGTAAAGATAGTCTTCTGTACGAGATACGAGGAGGAATTTAAAATTAAAAAAATATGTTATCTACGATATGGACTATCAAGATATTTACGATTTACTTTACAAACCTGTAATATCACCTGTGGTTTTGATTCTTGATCGGAATTTCATATCTACATTATCATTACTATCATGAGTGCTCGATTCCTCATTATTGTTATTCATCTGATGTTGCTGCTGTCTAGTAGAGCTTTTACTACGACGAGTTTTCAACGTAGCCGATTGATTTTGTACCTGCGGAAAAATAAAATAACATTATATTCATTTTATTATTGTCTCATTTATAATGATAATATTATTATTATTTACGTTATTTACGATTCAATGTTTTTTAATTGTTCATAAAACTATTAAACACGAAATATATTTTGTTTTATTAATAAACAAGAAATATGATTAGATCATTATTATTATATTTCACTTTATTATTTTATGCATTTTTATTATTTTATTTTATTATTTCATGTATTTTCTGCTTACCTGCGTTCTATCGCGTGGAATCCTTTCTAGAGTTCTTGTTCCAGCATCTTTTGCCATAACTTAATAAAAGTCATATAATTTAAATTTATTTGTGATTAAAGTAACAAGATGAAACAAATAAAAATAGAGAGTAATATACCAACTGATTTTATGCATAAAACCAAATATATGATAAACAAGCAAGTTACTTCAATTAAGAGGGTATTCTAGTGTAGAGTCATGAATTTTAAGCCAATTTTAAATTATCGCAAAAAAGACAATAATTTTTTTTATAATTTATTTATCAATGTTACAAGTGTACAGAGAAAATATAAAAAACGTAAGGAGTGACAAAAAATGGCATGTAACCGTGTCCACGCAACCCTCCTAATAATACAAAATGAAAAATCATATTAAATCTTGAATGATGTTTCAATGGCATATACTAGAAAAGTTAAAAAACATTACAAAGTGTTGGCTGTTTAAAAAAAGACCATTTTCTTTGAGTTTTTTGATTTTTTTGAAAATAGTAATAATTGAAAATCGAAAATGAGGCTAGTATGTGCTAGCAAAAGTCTTTTAAAAAGATTCTCTGAAAATTCCAAGTAAATACGTCTAGTAGAAATCGTTTTGAAAAAAAAAACGCGTTTAAAAATTTGCAATAGGATGAAAACGAAGAGGCGTATCATGAATAAATAGCTCTATCTTCGAAAATAATTCAAATTTTTAAAAAAATTCTTTTACACATATTCTAGATTAATTAAGCTTTGAAAATATGAAAAAAAAACAAAAAAAAATAATTTCTATACTAGAGTACCTCCTTAAGTAAAGCATAAATAAATTGAAACAATGTTCGCTTTATCATTTTTAATGTTGTAAAACTTTACCTGCACTTGAGGGAAGTTTTGTAGATCCAGAAGCCATATAATTTGCTGGTAGAGACATATTTCTAACGCTTTCGCGAATAATTTGTCGTATTGTTTTTAAGAACGCATTCCGGAAATCTGAAGTACTGAAAATATAATGATTTAATAAATAATAGTGCAACATTAACAATATTAATAATTAACTTTATTGAATTTGATTCGTACCTATTACTCAATACATAGACCTTTTCAGTACGCCTCTGCACTTGTGATCTTAAATGAATTAGTTCCCATAGAAAATGTGAATCCATATCTCGATTCGTTGATGTTCTCACCTAATATACAAAATATAAGTGATTTTTAACAATATAAAAAATGTTTTTTATGTAAGAAAATATATTTTGCACTCTTTTGAAATATCCCTAAAACAACAACAGGCTAATGAATAAACATAAAAGTTAATTTTTAAAAAATCTGCATTTTTAATGAAGCAACATAGTAGAAATCATTTGATTTATATCAACTAATATATAATAATAAATAAATAATAATTTAGTCTAATATATATTTCTGTCATTCCTAACTGTTTTAATCAAATTTGAAAATATATTGTTATTCATTTCAAAATCCTCAATTTTCGATCCTAAACTAATTTGAGCAATTATAATATTATTATATTAATTTATCATTATTACCTGTACTTCAGTGACTGGGATGAGAACTTGATAGCGAATAATTTCTACTTCACTTGTATTTTTGCTTGCAACACCCTGCGAAATCATAATATGGTATTATAAGATATTCCAAATAGTTATCAATACGTTATAATGAAAATTTCAACTATATGTTTAAATAATAACTCACCATAAGTTTTTTGCGATGTCTGACTCTTTCTTTGCATAAGAAAACTACTGCTGATTTAAATACAAAACACATTGCGTGCAACTCCAATCCTACAAATAAATTTATTATGAATATAATTTTCTTATATAACTCAAATCATTATATTTTATTTATTTACACAAATTTATAAACTGACCTTTCTTAATTTTTCCTAGGAAATCGGAAATGTTCAACCATTCTACACCGCCATAGTATAAAAGATCTCCTGGAAGATTAATGTATAATTAGTATTATATATTTTATACAACAGCGCAATTGATATTAAGTTAAGTTGATTCAGATATCGAAATTAAGTAAAATATTTGTAACAATATTTATCATAGGATAACTTTTTTTCGATCATCTATGAACATTTTAAAGATTTACGCTATTATGACCCATTGGTTTTGCAAAAAGCGTTATTTCCTCATAGATTAACATTTTCATTTATTGTATGTCAACGGAAAAATTGATATGTTTATCTGTAGTCAATAGGTAGATGTTATATATGAAAATAAAAAAGGCAAATTCAATTGTAAAGCACATTCATGATTTGAAAGTTGATATAATTTGCTTTATATTTGAGTATTAGAGAAAACTGGGTACAGTTGTGCCAGTGACAGTTGTCATAACAGCTAAGCTACACTGTTTATAAGATAGGGTCCAGAGAAAAAAACTTGAAGTATGTTTGTTGGAACAATTTTCCATTATTGCATTTAATCAGCACCCTATATTAACATCATTCGAACTGTAGGCCGCGTTGCAAAAAGCAAAAAGTAAGTTTTTTTGTTTGATTTCTTCTTGTGTTACTTGAACACAGATAGATTTCTTTGTTTATTATTTTGCTATTAGTTGAGCATTAGCAGTTAATTACTAGTGATAAAATGTTGCGTATATAATTTAGCTCATAACGATGATTTGTCTCCAAAACTAATGAAGAAAACTCTATCTGACCTTAGATAAAATACGAAAGATAAAGAGAAACAAAAAGCAATACAAGAAAAGAAAGATCCTGTCTAATTTGTGGAAGCCCAGACAAACGGAGAATTATGTTATTATTGTTTTGTGCATAAACTTAAATAAAACATGATATAACCATTTCCATAATATTTACCTGGACTTAAATCAACTCGCAATCGGCACGCCTTTTGATGTTGCCTGAACAAATGTTCGAAAATTGCACCATATTCTTCGTGAATGCGTTGCATTTCGTTTATGTGTTCGGCTACTTTCTCCATACCTTTGAGAGCCTCTGTAATTTAATAAGTAGCTTGTAAGTGAAAATTTTAATCAACTAGTAGATGTATACAAATAAAAATAACAACTTATTAAGTATGGCTTTAAATTTTAATTTGTTTGCCATCTGTACCCAGTTTTCTCTAATACTCAAATATAAAGCAAATTATATCAACTTTCAAATCATGAATGTGCTTTACAATTGAATTTGCCTTTTTTATTTTCATATATAACATCTACCTATTGACTACAGATAAACATATCAATTTTTCCGTTGACATACAATAAATGAAAATGTTAATCTATGAGGAAATAACGCTTTTTGCAAAACCAATGGGTCATAATAGCGTAAATCTTTAAAATGTTCATAGATGATCGAAAAAAAGTTATCCCATTTTACCCCGAAATAACAAGGAGGGAGTTTTACTGATCATACATAGTTGTTTGTTTGATATGTGCCATTTCTTGTGATATAATTGGTTTGGTTTTTACAATCTAATAGCTCAATGTCAAATTAGACCTTTGTGCCATACCCAATATTAAATTTACACATAACGTAAAAAATTAGTACTATTTCTTACCCATGAGATGTTGTCTTTCCTCGCTGTCTTCTCGAGTTAGATTTTTCAATTGTTGCAGCAACAAAGGATATTTCAGTATACGTTGTATAGGCTTAATAAGATATGATTCTAATGTGAAAGAATGTTCTTTACTAGGGTTTTTAGATTGTAAAAATTGTTGTAGTTGTTGATTTCCTTCATCTGCAAAAAAAAACAAAATTATAAAAAATTTGTTTTTTTTCTTGATTCCCGAAGATATCATTGACGCAATTATCTAATGATTTTTATTAAACATGTTTATAATTTAATATATAATTTTTTTTTAAATCTGCTTATAGCTTGTTTTCATTAAGTAATGGGCACCACTTCTATTCATCATTGGATTATCATCTATTAGGAACAAATTTTCTATATTTCATATTTAACTTGATAATCGACTATTAAAAATATAAAACTATAACAATTATGATGAAATAGCAAACAGTAAGTTTTTATAGTCAAAGATACAATAATATTTAATGACATTTTACTTACTTGGATGTAAAACTTTTTGCGCTTTTGAGTGACTTGCACAAAATGAACTGTATAGTTTGAAATGACCCACGTAATACAAGAATGCACTTCCAATTGAGAATAATATATTCTGAAAAAACAATAAATAGAATAAATATGATTATATTTTTCATAGTTAATTAGATCTCACAGTTAGATATAATGTAGAACATGGATAGAAATTTCCAATGGAGATCTTATAATATAAATAAAATAAGTGCTTCATATGATAGTTTGCTTTTCTCTCACAATCAGTATTGTATAGCATATTGTAATAAAATAATTTTATTTATGTTAATTACTCGAAGTAATTATTCTGTAAAAGTTTTACTTATATTCAGCATATTCAAAAATCTAAAAGTTAATATTAAGAGCTAAAACTTTGAGAGAATTGTTTTTTATCAATTTGGAACCATTTGAGCCCTAGGGAGCAAAGAAATTTGAAAATGTCCATATTAAGGACCACCCTAATATATATATATATATATATATATATATATATATATAGTTTTTACTCATTTTGTCAGATATTATTACCTTAAATTTGGAGCATTCAGATAGTTCACTAAAGTTTCTTTCTAATTCTAAGGCCTCATCTAAATTACGTGCAAAGTTGCATTGGAACTGTACAATTTCTCTAATATTCCAAATAATGCTGCCACTTCTTGGCTCGATAAAAAGCTTTGTTCTTTCAATGGTTCTAGGTATTCTTCCAGCAATATATTCAGGTCCTTTTCACAAATAGAAAAAAGTTTTATGGTCACATATTAACTAATTACATATTGTATGAATAATTTGTAATACCTTTACATAGGCTCTTTCGGTTTCTACAAGTTCTAAAATAATTTTTCTCATTTTGTCGGCATCACTGAATTGTCTGCTAGGCGTGTGAGTGTTGGAACTTACTGATCCTACATCAAAAACAAAATGTTTTGAATGAATAAATAATATTTGAAATATTATAAAATTATATCAACTAACATAAAAATCAAAGAAATTGATTAAATACAATATTCAAGTACAATTAAAGTATTTCAAAATTACAGGCTTAACTAAAAATCAAATATTTGTTGGCCTGATCAATAAAAATAACGAATCAAATTATAATTTCAGCGAGAATTAGTAAAACAAATCTATGAATGTAAATTACAGCCGATTCATAATCATGTCATAACATTTCTACTATAACAGCAAAAATAATAGGAAGTTTATCAGAGAATACACCAAAAAAATTATTCACCAGTAGGACTTTGAGTAGATTTACGTATTTCTTGCGGAGAACGGCAAAATCCAGTAACTTGCTCAGCCGTCTGAAAGTAATCACAATATATTCATGACTAGATATTTAATGTAGACATTTGTAATGAAAAAAGTTCAACACTCATTAAATGTAAGTATTAGCAATAAATAAATTATTTTACCTTCAATAAATTTTCTATTTCAAAGGAGTTTGTTCTAGAAGTTGGGCGCGTCGCGGTTCTGCTATCACTTGATGTTGCATCTAGACCAAGAAATAATATTTGATACAAGATAGTTCTGGAACTATACCTGTTAAATTATTATTATTCAACAGAGATTTGTTCGATTGATAATTTATGGATTTCGTTGAACAATTTTGTAATCCGTATCTATAGCAATATTTAAATAAATTAGATTGATTGAAAACCATTTCAAATATGTAAATAATAACGAATGAAAAAATATCAATAAAATCTACATTTTTAATATTAAAAATGTAAAAATTCCGGAAGTTCTATCTCAACTTTAGATCAACTAAACAATTGATATTTCAAGAATTTTTTGCAAAATTTAATTTTTGCAATTATTGATTTTTTAAAAGCTTTTATAGGCTGATACTCATAAAACAATTTTAATGAAATGTTCTATATAAATATTCCTGTTTAATAAGCTAATGTACATTCAATATTTTGTTAATAATTCGCTGTTTATCAGAAAAAAATACATACTTATATCAGTCGATGTCTTCTCTAAAAAACGTATTTCGATATAAAATTCCAAACATACATCAGCCAAACCACATACACATTTGTTCTTTGTAATTGTTTCTAATCATTTAAGATATTAGTTAATAAATAAGAAAAAACTTACCCCAATCTTGGGGTTTAGGCACTATGAGATCGCTGATCGTACGATCGTCTATCGTAGGAGGATCAAGAGGAGGAGGCGGGCAGACCAAGGAATCGATCACATCATCAGTAATCGTTACATTGTCGCCCAAAATTCCAATTGGCATGGGAGGATTATCATTAACAGAAGTCTGGTTGTAAGGTCTATATTGTTGCGTTTGATTACTTTGAGAAGCACTCAAAATGCACGATGGAGCAGAAGTGCGAGATGACCTGAAATATATAAAAATATACATCTGAATATAATCATTATTATAAGGTAACATTTTCATTAAATTGTTTCATAATATCATATATATAATATTTTATTTAGTCACATTTTTACCTCATGTTCATAACGAGACTGAGTTCTTCTTGTAACACACTTTCTAAATACATCATATCTAAATCTGAAACTACAGCTCCATTGATGACTAAAATTTCGTCGCCTTTGATAATTCCTGTGAGCAGATATTTATTATTGACAAACAAATACATAAAGCAAAATTCGAACTGATTGCTTAAAATGCAATTTACCGTTTCTCATAGCTACACTTCCATCTTCCACACGACTCACGTGACAGCATAATTCATCTTGTCTATTGCCTTTAACATAAAATATTATTATTATTATAGTCATACAATATAATATCCACATACATATGCATATATATAATTAACAAAAAGTAATCATTAAACTTAACATAAACATTATATTCATGCTCAATGATATCACCAACTTTTATACAAAACTTTGAGAAAATGTTATTCTTGAATCAATATTTATATTCTATATATTCAAATTTAACAAAATTTAATATATATTGTATGTATATTTACAGTTCTCTACAAGCTCCGCTTCTACACTGAAACCCCACATGTGATCCAACGACTTTCTAACGAGCTCGCATGTGTACCGAACTTTGGCGCAGATCTCAATTATTTCATGAGTTTGAAGCTGCAAAAGTAAAATAATAATATGAAATTACTAATTTTTAACTTTCCGAAGGAGAAGTTTATGTTTTCATAAAAAATTCAGATTAGCTAATTTTATGTTTTGTCGACGTATCAAGCCATTCTCAATCGAACGAGACCAAATTTGGAAAAAGTATGTGTGTGTGTATGTGTGTGTGAACAGATTTTTTGCCGTAAATCGACGTTTTTTCAAAAACGGCTGGACCACCGATTTCAAAAATTTAAAAGCGATTCGATGTATCTCGATATGGACTAGCGTTCCTCAGTTTTGTGCAACGATCGGCCGAGCCGTTTTTCTTTGTAAATCGCAGAAAAGTAAAATTTTTTTCGTCTACGTTTTAGCCCGCAATTCTGAATCGATTTTGAGAATTAATTTATTTATAATAATAATTAATTAATTTATTTTTTTATTGATCAAGTCGATTATTTGCACATATCGGGAAATTTATGTAACTTGCCTCAAGGCAAAATACCATAACCAACTAGTTCTTATAAATATTCGACAATGTTACAATATTTATAATAATCTATTTAAAAACATTTAATATTTCTCGAACATTTCGTTACGGTACGGGAAGTTCTAGCAATTTGCCTTAAGGCACGATACCATACACCACTAGTTTATAATAATATGAAACTATATTAATATTACACCTGACAAACAAATGCAATAAACATAGTTTTAAAACTATTCAAATACATAATTGCTAATGTCATATGTATAGAAAAATTAATAATTGTACACTTGTTTTAGTAAGTGTGAGAAAACAAAAGATTTCAAATTGTTGTTGTGATGCAAATGATGATCGCTGAATATTTTAAAAACTAAAAAGCTTTTGCGCCTCAGCATCCACAATTTATCGGAATCGATAAACAACGCAGCCAAACTTGGTAATGTACATTTCAAATACTCGTAATATAAATAGATCATTTGACTTACGTATGTTTCTATCAAATCGTTTCGATGGGGAACAAAATAGTTGGAATCTTCCATGTCCCGCCGCTTCTTGACGCGTACAAAATGCTCTTGGGGCTCCAATACAATTCGTTCTGCCTGATCATTCTGTGCATTTTGAGCTTGTGCGTACATGTCCTCTCCGATTTCGCCTGCGATTTGTCCGGAAGCACAATCACCTGCACGGTCTCTGCTGAGGCAGCAGGAAAGCAAGAACTGTTCCACGCTTGCGCCATCATTCAACACTACCGAAGCTGTTCGATTTTCGGGAAGGGAGACCTTGATCACTCGAGCATTCTCCTGCATCATCTGAGAATGATTCAACAGGAATTTTGTTACAATTATTAACACATATGCTAATATGAAGGCAGAAAGTCGATGAGAACTTAAATATTAATTAGTATCTTTTGGTAAATATTTCTTATAAATGAATAAGAGTTTTGAGTTTATATAAACATGAATACAACAATTTATCAGCCATTGTAAAATAAAATATCCAAAGTCGTCATAATACTGTCGCATCTCTTTCTAGAGACCTCAAATTTATTAGTGTTATCATATGTACGGGCAAATTGATAAATAAATAGTGAAAATGATAAAATAAATTATTAATTTTGTATTATTTACCTTTTTGGCTCCTGACAAACTTCCAGAACGATCACCAGTTCGAGACATAGATCCAAGTTGACGCGGCGGTAAAGAAACACTAGGAGTCAATAAACGCCGCTTACTAGCACCTCTTCCAGCCAACAAATTAGATAATAAGGAAGGTGATCTGCAATAAATATTATTTCGTATAATAAAGTATCAATGCTAAATATACAATATTGTTTATATACCTTGCGCAGATCAAGGCATGCAGTGAAGACACAGTGAATACTCCTAGTTCAGAAAGCGTTCGCTTTGTTTGACGCGAAACATGCGCCAATAACGACTGTAATATGAAAAAAAATTAGCTAATATATAAAATAAACGATTATATATAATATATATCTCAAAGCAATATACGCTATCTGATAAATAATTAAAGCTGTTATAAATTCTATTTATTATTTATATCTACGGATTCCAATATGCAAATTAACTTTAGTAAGTTACTTTACTTTACGTCTACTTACTTTAGGATTAGGCAATTCACCACATTGCAAACTAGCCATATAACATCTAAGCCGATACTGTTCGCAATGTAATCTTTCCAAATCTTCAGCGCGGGATGCCAGACGATGATGTGGATGATGCGAATGAATTTGCTGCTGGATTAGTAATTTATTTTCCTATAAGATAAATCAAATGTTTCATTAAAAAAAATTAATTAAAAAAATTAAATTTTTCACTTGCCATAATTAAGAGTAAACGAGAGTAATGAGATATGCCAATGCTATTTATTTTTATCTATAAAATTTCTCTGTAACTATAAATTTTGATATTGTGAATTTTAAAGAAACCGCATATAACCTTAAAAATGAACATAGCACATTTTTCGTTCCGTTTTCAAAAATTCGTTAAATATATACACCTGTCTATTAGTTTAATTAGATAGTGTTTGTTAATTAATCAGTACGTTTCAGCAATTTATTTTTAATCGTAATGAAATAAGTTATTTATGTGTTTGGGCTAAATGAAAATCATGAAACTAATTTGTCGTGTTACATTAAGGGGGTATTCAAGTGTAGAGCGATGAATTTTAGGTCATTTTTAAAGTGTCGTAAAAGAAAGCAATGAATGTTTTTAATGTCCATTTTTTTACCACTTGTTTATTAATATTTTTAATATACAATACAAAAAATTAAAAAAAAGGTGAAATTTAAAGAAACAGGCAGCTGATGAAGGGAGGCATCTCAAAAAATTGGCACCTCAGTCTTGACATGATTTCAGCCCTCCTAACCATCCGCAATAAAAGAAATAAAAAGATTATTAATCTACAATGATTTCGCAATCGCCCGAACTAGCGATGAATAAAAAAAATTATTTTTACAAATTGGCGACTGTTTGAAAAAAGTGTCTTTTTTATTGTTTTTTTTTCAGTTTCTAGTATTTTTTAAAAATAGTAAAAATTGGAATTTGGGGATGATGCTAGTTCGACTCTCTGAACATTTCAAGTGAATCGGTCGAGTAGAACTCGAGAAATCGTGTCAACAGTACTGAAAAAGTCTGTTCTGAGAAAAACGCATTTAAAGTTTTGCGTGAAATTTTTGCTGTTATACTTCTTTTATTTAATCCGCCTTTCCTGCTTCATGCATCGGACCTTCTTCTACTTCAAAAAAAATGTTTTCTGCAATTCTCTCTTGCAATCGAAGCCTCCTTTGGACGTTGGATGTACGTATTTCAGATCATTCAATCCGGCCGTTGTCAGCAAATGAATGAGTTTCTGGCCCAATTTGCATTACCATAAGGGTCATCATTTTTAAAATCGGAAAGAAACCTTCATTGAATATCAAACAGCAATAAATATTGCTATTTCAATTACCCGAGATCGGGAATGAATATGTTTCGGTGCAAAAATCCAAATCAACGACTTTAGAGATTCATTATTGTTCTGAGTTTTTGAACCTATACATCGAATTAATAATTCATCTGACGATAAACTGTTTTAAATTGATCTAATGACGTGCTAATGCCTTTTGTCAATAAAGACCGAATATTCGCTTTTACTCGAATTTTAATATAAATTACCTCGGCGATACATCTATCCAACCGGAATATTTCTTCCTGCACAAGATGAAGCGTTCCAGTCTTACCTCTGTGGCGCGCAAATGCTGCTGCGCAAGCAGAATGGACCGCGCGGGTCCATTGTTCTAATTCAACCTGATCACAAAAATTAACATTTTATTGAAAAATTATATATTCCGAAAATTAATAATGCTATAGTACCTGACAAGGTGCTTGGAACAAATAAGCATCGCCGAACGCAGTACTCAAGCAAAATGCAAATTCTCGCCGGGGATGTTCAGGAATTGGTTGAGTGATTGCGCCATCCACGATGATTAAATGCTTGACGGGTGCTATACAAATAATAAAGTTACTATTGATATTTATATTTATTAATTTATTTTTATTACTTTGCTCTGATGCTTATTATCATAATAATAAACAATAAACAATATTTAATTTAATAATAACTAATATACCAAAGTTACTATCAAATTTTAAACAATAAGCCATATTTAATTTAATAATAACTAATATACCAAAATCACAAGATAAGAATACAATAACCCTGGTTAAAAAAAGATAAGATATATTTTGACAAACTAATTTTATATTTCAAATATATCTTAAAATGAATAGTTGGTTCAAAAATAATGTTATTGTAAGTTTTATCTAAAAAGCTTCGATTTAAAATTTACAAGTTACGTTAAGCTGTATATTCAAGATAATAAGAAAAACTAGTTCTGCTAAAGATCAGGCATAAATGCAATGAAATCCTTCGAGAAGATATAGAACTTTCAAAAATTAAAGATTTTCAACAAACCTCCATCGCCTTCATCCTTGCAAGGGTAGAAAAGTAAGGTAGTGCCTTTTAGGCAAACCCAATACATTTTCCAACCTCTTTTCCTCGCTAATTCTATTTGATGGCGTTTACGTAGCAACCACTTTTTCACCGATAGATATCTATAATATTTACATTCAAATAGTATAACTCGAATTTAGTAACAAAATAAAATGTGTTCATTTTGATGAATAAAAATTCAGTAGAACAACTAGTATTCCTGAATAAAATTTACCCAGCTTTTCGTACGGCGCCCGTGCAATTAAATGAGCCCTGTTCCGCATCCCTCGCGCCCGTGCGTTCATTTTTATTCGAGCAATTGCTTGTACAATTATTTGTGCAATTACTTGTACAATTGTTTTGTTCTTCATCGGAAATAGCTGTCGTTAAGCTCATCCTTTCATCATCAGAGATCTATTGCGAGAGATATTTGTTATGCAATTTCTTATATCCGCTAAAATCGCACAATATGTATCATGTCGATAGTAAATATATATATATATATATATATATATATATATATATATATATATAGGTGCTTATAAATGATAGACACCTACACTTCAAGCAATTCAAATATTCACACATATACCTTCACGCTTTCTAATATGGCTAATAAAAATCCAATTAGAACAAAAGCGAAATGATAATGATGCTATGATTAACTAAATTATAAAACACAGCGAACGTAGTTATAGATAAATAAGAGAATTAAATTAATACACAATAATTTCTGTTCACGACAATTCTAAAAATGCTATAAGAGTAAAAACATATAATTTTGTAGTTGTTGTTTTTGATCAGTTATTGTCAAATCTTCAAAGGGTCGCCAAAGGCAGCTTAGATGTGTACGTAACACTATATTCTTTCAGTAGAGCTATATAAAATGTGAAATATATTATTAATTTATTTAATAAGTGAATATAAACCTGAAATCGTATAAATATGTATTCTTTATAAAATAGCATAATTCATACCTCGCTGCTTGTCAAATAACACAACCTAGAGTCGGCCGATTCCACAGAAAGCTGCTGAGTTATCGAATGCCTCGAATCCGAGATAGCACCGTCCGATACCTGCGACCTAATGTGAAAGCCAACATTTACAACATCTAATACAAATGAAAAGTTATAAAATATGTTAGTTATTTACTTAACACTTTAAACTATACAACGCGCCTAATGAAAATCAATCAACTGAAAAATGAAATCAATCAAATCAACTATTTTAGATAGATAGATATTTTCTGTGAGGCATATAATAGTTAGATATTTTCTGTGAGGCAGAAGCATTTCTTTCGGAAAAATAAATTTTTAGCTTTTCAATAAAACTAATAAAAATCCGGTTTAATAAATAAAACTGAATATAATAATTTACCTCTGTTCAAAACTGTCGCCCCTGTAGGATCTCGCATAACCACTATCATGCAGACTTGCGTCCTCATGTCGTAGTGAAGGAAGCGAATCCCAAGGGCTTTGTCTATTATGTAAATATAAATATTGTTAAAATTTGCACTCCGTTAATTACTTCATAAAAAACATGAATTATGCCTTTTAATAATTTGAAATCAATCAAGGGTATGGGCGCATTGCCATACAAAATCGGCCGCACCCTGATATTTAAATAATTTATACGCAATTTTAAAGTCTTTTTGAAAAAATCTGATATACCAATTTTCAAATTCGTATCTCACCTTATGGCCGAGATATCATTGAAAATATGCCAAGCGGCCGCCCGTAAAAAAAACGTAATTCTACTCACATTGTCTTAGACAGACCACATTATATAGAACAATCGATGCCAAATAATCATTTAGCTATAAAAAATGTAGTAAAATTGCAATTTAATTGTTGTTATAATGGTGTATAAATTATTTAAATACCAAGATGGAGCCGATTCTGTGTGGCAATGGGCCAAAACCCTTTGATATTATTCTATTTCTAATAAATTATATCAAAAGTACATTCAACATTAAATACTTGAAACCGATAATTACAAGCAAAATCAATTTTTAGATCGTGTTTTCAATTATTGTTAAAATTAATGCATAAATAATAGTAAAATTAATCATACATAAACCTAAGTCTACCAAGAAAACTTTTAATCACTCTCAAAAAATATAGCAAGATCAATGATTTTTTTTATGTTTTATTAGTATTGCTTTATTACTTTTATACAAAATTAAATAAAAAATAAATTATACATAGATTTTACGCACAACTTTGAAATAGATAAATTGTAATTTGTAAAAATTTTGTGAATCATGGTCAAAATAAAAAAGATCTGAGTACCACGTTTTTCTAAATCACAAGTATTTGTGTTATTCGTAAAACCGTAACCGTAAATATTACTATTGAAGGCGGCATTTGAATTTATCAGATGTATTTTATCAGATATCCTACCGTTTATCGCCACTATATCCCCGTGACAACGTTCTAGTTTGCGACTGAGATCGTGATCTAGGCTGAGGCATACCAGGTCCAGGTTCGCATTGGGAACATCTTGCATATTTCTGACTGTAAATTGAAATCACTTCCGTTATCTAATGTAAAACTTTTATATATCATTACTAATAACAATGAATCAAATACCTCGTATTGTGATCACTAAGGTAACCCCGTTCTCGATCCCTTTCTCTTTCTCGTATTAGTTCGTTTCGATCGCTAAAAAATTACATATACATTACATAAAATAATGTAAAATAATAAAATTAAATTTTAATTATAAAATAATAATTTTTATTCCAATCTTTATGTTTGAATAAATATATAAAAGTCACCTGTAATAACCATCCCTGTCCCGTGGCAGACTTGAAGACCGCTCGAATCGGTTTGTAGAACCTGTTGCCATCGGTAATGGTAAAGTTGAGCTCTTGTTATTAGGTGGAAGACCTAATGAAGTTAATTACAACTTAAAAATTTGTCAAAAATAATTAATAACTATAAATAAATGCAACTTACGTCTTCTGGAAGCAAATGGACTTCTTTGATTAGATCCCGGCAAACTTTCTGCAAATTCTGAAATATATTTCATGCATAAGCAACTTATAATTGGACTTATAATAATAATATAATATTACTATACTAGTTAAACTATTACTGTTATAAGTAATTTAAATTACTTTTGATTTGGACCTTCAATCAGAAAACTAACTTACTAAACTACTAAAAGAATCTCAGCGTGTCAAATTATACTATAGGAGTATATAATTATAATATCGTATAATAATAATATATGGTATATAATAATATAATGACATATAATAATAATAGTATCGTATATAAAAATTTCACATAAAAATTGAACATTTTTTTATCTTATTAATAACTAATTATTTGCTATAATTGTAAATTAAATGAAAAAGAAAATATTCAGAACAATGAAGGCTGAATTTTTCAGGATAATTAAAATAAATGATAATATATTAATGTTATTAAAAATAATAATGCATTATCGTTAAAGGTAATTAAAATATAAAAAAGTTAACAGCGTATTATTAACTAATCTTAAATAATATTATATCAAAAATTCATCTTCTATTTTAAAATATTGTTCGAATCGATTGTGTCTAATAATAATGATCGTGTATTAGAAGCTTGACTTTTTAATCATTTGTCCTCTTTCAATAATGGACATAGACAAAACACTGAAAACTGTTAAATGTAGATTAACTCAATAAAATTTTTATGATAACACGAAACGATTACAAGATTCGGAATTCGGCCTTTAACAAAAATGAACAAATACTGAAGCATTTTAATTAAAATGTCATAGTTACTCCACATTCTACACGATATATAAATCGTTTACACAACCCATATTATTATATTATATACAAAAGTTGAAATTTCACATAAATGTAATCAATTATTGAATACATTTAATCAAATGTCTATTACCAAACTATAACAAACAACTTCATATAAAATATTAATATATTTTAATGTACCTAGTTCCTCCTGACTTCGGCGAAGGAGAGCTTCAAATGTGTGGAGGCTGCAACTTTCCGCATCCAAGCCTCGTGCCAATGTGTTGCGTAAATGGAGCTCGTATTCCAGTAACAGACGAGAGGTCGGTGAGCTTGCACGAGAACTTGGGGTTGACAATGCCTGAAAAAATCAGGTAGAAATGCAGTTGATGATAAAATGAAAATTTAGTGAACGTATATATTTATATACATTATTTAAAAAATAATTTATTTAAAACATAATTTATACATTATTAACTTCCCGAAGGGGAAGTTTGTGTTTTTGCCAAAAAATCAGATTTGTATGTTATTTTTATGTTCCCAAATTTTATGTTACGTTACCTTTTCTCGTCGTTTTAAGCCATTCTGAATGAAATGAGATAAATTTGTAAACCAAAAAGGTATGTGTGTGTGTGAACCGAATTTTGACCTTTCGTCGACGTTTTCTCAAAAACGGCTGGATCATTTTCAAAAATATAAAAGCCATTCGATGTATTTCAATAAGGACTAACGTTTGTCAGTTACGCGACGATCTGCAAAACTGTTTCTTTGTTAACAACAGAAAAGTGGAAATTTTTTCGACCACGTTTTAACTCACAATACTGAATGGATTTTAAAAATTCAAAAACCTTTCGAAAGATATTAGATGAGAATCGTGATGATTTATATTGAACAAAGATTGGTCGAGCCATTTCTTAGTAATTAAAAGTTGAAAAAAAATTGATAAAATTTTTTACATTGATAGATAGTAGTCCTAACAAACATACTAAAATATTTCGACCCTACGATAAGTCGTTTAATTTCAAAAAATCATCATAGTTTGAAAAAACGTGATAGTCAAAATTTGTTTCAAAAGTGTTGATCACCGTTAATTTAAATCATTAATTAATATTAAGGACTTTGTACATGATACATGTAATCGTGCCTATATTTTTTATCGCGGATGCTTAATATTTCACAAAATAATTCATTAAGTTTCTTAAAAAAAAAGTTGAATAATAAGCTACAATTTTAGCACATATAAGCACGTGTTTGTCTAATTAATGTAATTACAGATATTTTAAATGTGTTTGAGAGATAACATTTGGAAATCGCAATGTTTAGATTCATGTGAAAGCAAAAACTTTATCTTCGAATTAAACAGTTGAAAATTTTATCTAAATATCTAAATCTCAATTTCGGTTGATTAAGTAAATTATTGCACCTGTCGGGAAATTCGTGCAAGTTGCCTTATAGCAAAATGCCAATTTCAACTAGTATAATAATAATAATTATTATATTATTATAAAAAATAACGTACATGCGTGTGATATCTCCGAGCAGGATTGACAGCTGCAACATTGTTCTCGCAGCAGTAGTTGTCCTGATCGGAATTGTTGTTGCTGGAAGTGGGCGTCGTGGCGTAGCACCTCGCATCAAACAGCAGAGCATCGTCGCACGAGTCCCGCGCGTTGTCCCGGTCCCGTTCCCGCTCGCGGTCGCGGTCGCGGTCGCTTTCATGTGTGTAGTATGCGCCTGAGTCGCGGTCCATCCGTCCGCGGTACGACATTCCGTTATCTCGTTCGTTCTCTATGTCCAGATATAAACTGCGCCCGTCATGCGACGACCTGTTTTATTTAAGATTAATAAAATAACTATTATTATTACAAAAGACCATATTTCATCATCAACGCATCAAAAACTTTGAACTATAATATTTTTAACGATTGCAGACGGGCTTATATCCAAATAGTTTCATAAATACTAAAACCGGCCACAGACGTCACTGCATACATATGCAACTGAATGAAAACGCAGCAAAGCGTATTTTCACAGTGCCCACAGACGTCTCAAGATTATGCTCAAGTATTTGCGCAATCATATAAAAAATATCAACTAAGAAACGTCAAGACCTAACCTAAAAATATATCTTTCTTACTAATTTATATATTCACAGCAATCAGAAGAGAATTCAAAGAGTTCAGAAGGCTAATTTAAATAGTTTCAAAAGTTAATAACTTCATAAATTTGAATTATGTATTCGCTACAAAGTGAAACAAAAACGAGACATGTGCCGCCACACGCGGCCAACGCAATTAAAACAATCGAAAAGTGCTCGTGTCTACTCGCTTCTACCGGTATGTTAAGTTGCGCAAAAGCATCCCACAGACGCTACAGAATACACGTGCAAGTCACAGGTTGCGCAATTATACAGTATCGTCTGGTGCCGGCTTTATTACAGTGATATCTTCGCACAATGGACGCTGTGCATAGCAAACTTTTTTTTCGATCGTGAATGTTCAAGAAAACGAACTTGTAGTCAAAAATATGCTGTTCAAATTAATTTAAAGTGTGGATCTTGGAAAAAAATTTCCCACTGTGAAAGTATACTTGGAGAAAAAGCTCACTCTTAATCCTGCTACACGCGGCCATCTCATTATTGGATAATTCATATTCCCAAAGGTCTAGAGAAAATTTTGGAAGTGAATGATCAAAAACCGAGAAAGAAAAGACCAATCAAAAGATTTCTAGTGCGCAAAGTCCCTAAAGTATTTTTTGATCAAATGGGAAAAAATGCAAGAATTCGTGAATGTTTACTTTTCATACATTGGGCTAAGAATTTCAGAGTAAAAGAAACAACTATCGAAAATTTCTTTGAAAATTAATGAGCTAAGAGGGCAGTACCACCCTGATAATAACTTACTTCGTAAATTAGTAATATTTTTTTAAATGCTTTAATTATATGTAAAATATATAACTCATTTGCTATGACCATATTTCAAACTACAGAACAAATTAATTTTATTTTCTTGTGTGGAAAAATGCGTTTTGCACACAAAACTTTTAACGAATTTTCTTCCGTAACCAATTAAGTACGTTATGCGAGGTATCACTGTAATTATAATTATCATAATTTTTTATTGGATTTTATTGTATGTTTTATTTAAATTAATAACATAAAATTATTTTTCTCAACCAAATTCTACACCTCTACACAATTATAAACTGATTATAAATTATAAGCTTACGTACTATTTGCGATCAAATAACAAACTTAAAAACTTTAAATAGATAACGTAATATAATAAATTATTATTATATAATTTTCAATAATATTATTTTGCATTAATTTATAGAACGTACAAAATATTGGTTATAATAACTAACCTGGAACTTTGAGTTGAATTTGTCCTCATCATGCTATAGCAGTGTGGTTGAGTCATCGGGCTTTCACCTGTAAATATAAATTCTAATGAAAAATCAAACTATTATTTGTATACTGAAATAATTAAAATAAATCTGAATAGATAGGTGACAGTAAAATTAGACATTACAGACATTGACTATAGTTACCTCTCATTATAGAATCACTTCTATCGCTTGGAACCGGCTTAAGCATTCGCTTCAATGTTGATGAATCAATAGAACGGCCTGTAGAATGTATGTTATTTTAATTTTTTTTAGAAAAACTATCAAATTGAAAATATAAGAAAAATTATTCATAAATTATGCGCACAAATATTATTGAATACATATATCAATTAGAATCATGAATTGATTAATATGTTAATCGTACCGGCGTTCATGTCTTCTGTAGATTTGGATTTACTACGTGGTGTATTACTTGATTTGGAAAACTTCTGGGTTGATGTCTGGGAATCGCTCTGAAGCATTAAAAACATCCAGTAAAATATAATTGCAATAATATAAACTTATAAATACACGTACATATATTTTCAAAAGCAATTTACATGCAGTGCACAAAGTAAATTGTTAAATATTAGAGTAGAACTATCTGTAACTCGTAAAATAGTTTTGAATTTTTTCTATTTTTTAATAATAAATAATTTTTATTTCGATTTGTATATAGCTAGTTTAATTTGAATGTTAAACTTCTTTAAATAAAAAGCTCAATCACTATTGTAATCATAGAAATAAGAATCCGGTGGAGACGCCATGTACTTTTGCGATGACTTGACGAACCAACTGTTGACCGAAAAACGAACTCGTGCGTTTAGTAATTATTCAATATAATACGAAACATCTATTCACCAACTATTAAGTTGCATAATATCTAATTTAGATTTACATAAAAGTATCAACTTTAATTTTGTTTGATTTGATGCTTTAGATAAAACTTTAACTTATAATAAATTAAAACATTATTTTTAATATACCATCTCACAGTCCTGATATTCAAAACTCTTAGCTCTCAAAATCTTCTTAGAATCGGTGATGCTTTCATTTTCTACTCCGTTGCTAATTGTATTACTTGCGATATGATTCGTTTTACTTATATTCGTGGCGTTGTTCGCAATACTTGATGTATTCATAGAGTTAGTTGCGGTATTAACAGTATTCGTAAGTTTACTGACCGTGGTTTGAGGCTTATTGACAATAAATGATTTTCCTATCTGAGTCGTTGCTTCTGATTTATTCAATTCCTGAAAATACAAACGAGAAAATTACTAAAACATTATATATTTATTTAATGATGTAACTTCCAATTCAAATTAATTGAAATTCTGATTCAAATTATAAATTTCTAAGATTACCTGTGCAGAAATATCTTTAATAATTTCAACGTTTTGATTGATTTCTTGATTTATATTTTGATTAACTGTTTGGGCAACATTATCGTATAAAGAAGTGCTTGACGTTGCAATATTAATTTTGTTATCTGAAATTAATATTGAAAAATAAATTAGTATGCCAAAACGCAATAATAATACTATTTCAAGCATCTACATTTCTATAAATTCGTAGAATTTATTAATGTAAAATATATTTAAATACATAAAATAAACCTAATATCATATATAATCCTAATATGATTATTATTATCAACTCACCTGTCTCAGTCGCTCTGGTTTGTGCCCTCGGCAAAGTAGATGATCCTGTGAGACAATTATATTAATTAAAATATATTATAATAATAAAATGCCATATTAAAATCTAATACTTCTAACTACTAAAAAATATTTTTCTCTAAAATAAGAATGATTACCTCTATAATGTTGTTGTAAACGAAGTTTATTATACTGCTCGACGCTCATGCAAGTGCATTGTGGTTCTGAAATATTATATTTATATAATTAGAGAATAAAATTGAAATATTAAAGTCAAAATACATAAAAATATTTGCACTTATATAATATTTTAAATATATTACAAATTTATTGTAAATTTGTTACAATTGCATTAATAATTTAAAAAAATAATCAGATGCATATCTTTACGGCAGATATAAATTGAGAATAGTGTTGTATGAAGATAATTTGTATTGTTTTTTATAATAACAAATATTATTTATTGAATTACATAGAGAAAAATCTCTCAATAAAGGTAGTAAAAAATGTCTATTAATATAAATTAAGTCACTGGGTTGTCTAGAATAACCATGTAAGATTCCAATATTAAGACGTAAGTTACAAAAAAGTGACCTAATTAACATCAATTTTGTAAGACTATTTCAAAAAATTTATTTTTTGTAAAAAGAATTTGTAACATAGCAATAGGTGAAATTTACTGGTATTGTTATTGCTAATTCTTTAGTGAATAAAATACTCGATGTTCAAATTTGGGCTAGCGTCGAAACCCATCACTCAGATATGCTATGTGAGCATGGACAGACATTGGCGTTGTCTGTCCATATTCATTAACATAAGCAGCATATGTACGATATTACATATATTGTACACACGGTTGTGCCAGGGTACGGTAGTGATAGTCGTCATAAAAGCTAAACTATACTGATTTGGAAATACCAAATTGTTGGTGTTTATATCTATTGTTTTTAATTTATTTTTATGCCTGTCACCACTGACCTCGACTGCTGTCAAAACCGTCCCTCGGATGTGGACGGTTGTGCCACTGGAGCTTTTTTTGTATTATTTGATTTTAAGACTAATACATCGTATTTAAGGGCAGTATTTCAGTAATTCCACGTAGACAAATGTTCAAATTACCATTTGATTTACTTTTTTCCCAGCTAACTGGTAAATTAACAAAATTATGGTTGATCCAAAAAAAGTAGCACAACCGTACCCAGTCGTCCCTACTTAGTTATCCTACGGATTGATTGAGTGGTGTGTGGCTTACATGTATGGTTTTGTAATAAAATAATGTACTACCTCGCCTGGTGGAGTTGTTAGGCGAAGCCGGCGTGGACCTCGCTCGCCGTCCGCCCGTGGCTCGATTGCCGTTGGCCCTGGAGGATGAAGTTCCCTGCCTCCTGGAGCGCGATTGTCCTGTCGGCGTGTCCCTCAGCGAATACGAGGAGGACGCTTTCCGAGCGAACTTGAACTGCGGCGACTGCAAGGACACGTCGCACTATAAAGGCGAAAGGGGTTGGAGCCAGACGTGAACTGGTTCATTCAACTACCGAACTCGGAAAATTAACGCAAAGATTCTTTTACGGAAACTTCAACGAGTTCCGTTCATATATAATTTGATGTAAATTCTCCGAGATTTGCAAAAAAAATTAATTTTGAAAAGTTATTACTGAGAAATTGATCAATGTTTGAAAGGTAAATGAAATTAATGACCTACGTGAGCAAATATTAGTATAATGTTATTAATATAATTTATATTTGTTTTGTATACTACTTATAAACAAAATCATTCTATTGTATAACACGTAAGTAATAACTTATGATGTAGTGAATATTTTTAATTCTTTTTTAAACCAATTTTAAAATGAATATAAGTTCCGCGACTGGCACTATATATTTTGTCATCATTTGACTATTTATTTATCTTTAGAAATTTAATATGTATTAATAGGTTAGTTAGTTAGAAGGGTCTAAATTAAACTACAAACATATATACAATACACACACTAAGTAATCACACGCATAAATAATAATGATAAAGCTCTGCATTTATCAGATATACAGGTAGGGTAGGGTGGGGCTAGTTGAGCAAATTTTTACTTAAACGGATGTAGCACCCCAATGAAAAGTCTCAATAAATTGCTATACGGCTTAATGGATTTGTTGTTTATCGCTTAACAAAAGTGTTAATACTATTTTTTGGTAATAAGTAAAATTTAAAAGCTACAGCTGTTTAAATGCAAAAAGTAAAGTATGCTCAATGTACCCCATAGGTGAGGCAAGTTGAGCACTAAGAAAGTATAATGAAATCATAGGTTCAATGTCGATTAGTGATGAAATAAAATAAGTTTTTAATAACCAGTTGTATATTTATAGTCTTTATTGACAGAGAAAACAATACTTATAGTAATTTGCTTTGAATAATTAACGAATAAGTAGAATCAACAGAACAATATCGTATCTTAGGAATTATTTTTCCATTATATTCAGTATTTTTGTTTAAAATCATTATTTCTTTATATTATTACTCATAGACTTAGCTTAAATCTTGAAAATAATGATCAATTTCTGGAATTTAATGATAATTGTCTTAGTGACAGAACAAGTTTAGCAACTATGCTCAACTAACCCCAACTCGGAATTTCAAAATAAAAGTGAGTTTATAAAATAAAACGTGAGAATTATAGCCAGAATCTCTGTGCATATTAAAAGTACTATAATTATATTGAAGAATAACATTTACCTGATTAAAAATAAATAACATTTGACTAAACCAGACGAAAACTCGTGATGAATTACGTTTTTACTTTTTGGTCTCAAAAGAAACAAACGCCCGTGAGCCCCACTCATTTTTCCAGCGGCCACTAGCGATCGCGGGATGTTTATTTCTCCCAAACCTCTATCTTTCCGCCATATAATGCCTAAACGAACGGTGAATAGTTTTCGAGATATTTCTATATTTTGATTGCTCAACTTGCCCCTATACTCAACTAGCCCCGCTCTACCCTACTCGTTAATAAGCATAAAAATATAGTAAAGAAACGTAAAATAGTGCATTATGTGCTGAAAAGTGTAGCGGTATTTATTTGTTCTAAATTGGAACCAGTTTCAAAGTATTTACTTAATTTTTTTAAATAATTTGTTAAGCATCTACTGAAAATACGCATAAAAAATTGTGTGCGTATACAAAAGTACTTCTGTAAAATCGGATAATTTGTTTCTTTTAATAATTTCTCATTTGTTTTCTTTTAATAATTGAGATAAGCATATGATTTTTATAATAAAGATGAAGTTGCAATAAATGTTGTGCGACTTTTAATGCACGAAAGCCAATGAATTCCAAACTCACGCAGCACTCGCGGAATTGTTTAGCATCCAGCGGCGACGTGAAGTTCAGCCCCCAAGTGTCATCAGTCACGGGGTCACGCCAATATGCAAAACATTCGCTCGCCTGTCCTATTCGTGTTCCTAGAATAAATGATTTCAATATATAGTATCATGTAAATATATGTATGTATTTATTTATTTTTTCAGTGCAGTCTGTGTGACATCGACTTTTTTATTGAAAATCATTATACTATTTAATATTTAATGTAACGTTATAAAAGATATATTTAATCAACAGAAAAATAAAACTAATGGTGTATAGCATCGTGCCTTAAGGCAAATTGCCGAAACTTCCCATACCGTAATGAAATGTTAGAGGAATATTAAATGCTGTCAAATAGATTATTATAAATATTGTAACATTGTCTAATATTTATAAGAATTTTATAATTGCAAAGTTGAAATTATTTATTTAAAGTATATTAGAACAGAATTAAAATTAAAATCTAAATTATTTCCGATATACAAAAAAAAATGAAACATTTTTTTTTCCAAAAGCAAATATTTTTTTGAAACAAGCAGTAAGTTCTTTGAATCATCCAAATCGGACGCTTAATTCTCTTAAAAACTGCCATTTTTTACACATTTAGCTCTGTATCTTCGAAATGGCCGGACCTGCCTTTGCCAATAACTAATCATTTCTTCTCCCAATCATTACAAATTGAATGTTTTTCAGATCATTCAAATTGGATACTTCGTTCTCTCAAAAACTCGAATTGTATTTTTTGCACTCTTTCCTCCATATCTCCGTAACGGCTCGACCTACCTTTGCCAAATACTAATCAGCACATCTCCCTATCAATAGGAATCGAATGTTTTTTGAACCATTCTAATCGGTTGATCCGTTCGCCCGAAAATGTGGACAAAAAAATGCGGACATACAAAACACACACACATCCATTTTTTCTGAGATATTGCAAAATGTTCAGAAACCTTCAAAACGTGATGATATGCAAACATTTTCATTATCGATTTTCGGCTACCCTACGACTATCGTGCTTTAAAGCAAAATGCTGTAACTTTTCGTATCGTAATTTGAAATATTTAAAACCTTTAACCTTTTTTAAATACTACAAATTTTGAAAGTTTTGATTTTTTTTTTAAATTTGAACTAATTTCAAGGCGTTCGTCCTGCGCAGAACTTTTAGGGAAAAACTATCGAAGTGTGTAAGCGCCGCGTCCCAGTCTAAAGTTTATACATTATAAATCTTTGTACGGAGCCCCCAAAAATTGTACTTAATATATTTTAACTTTTTTACTGGATAATCAAAACCGCTAGATCTGCCTTCCCAAAAATTTAAGATGTTTTCATTCCTACAAGTGGAATGTTTTTCAATTCAAATCGTACACTCCGCTCTCTCAAAAACTGAATTGGCATTTTCTGCATTTTTGCCTATATTCTCAAAATGACTAGGCCTGCCTTTGTCAAAAACTAATGAGCACGTCTCCCCATCAATAGAAATCAAATGTTTTTTAATCATTCAAATCGGTTGATCCGTGCTTTCGGAATCGTGGACAAAAATTTGTATCCAAATATACATACATGCATGCATACATACATCCAAACATACAGACGCACACAATACATTAATTTTTTCTAAGGTAGACCAAAATGTTCAGGAGGTCTTGAAATGTAATGATATGCAAAATGTTTTATTTTCTTTTTTTTGCTATTACCATTACTTGCCCTACGGGAAGTTAATAAGAAAATATAAATTTTCTTATCTATGATATAAATAATACAAAAGTTGTAATAAAAACAAAAAAGATATCATGATCCGATTCATCCCAACAACATAGTATCAGGTAAACCAAAAATATAAACTCAACAAACATTCATAAAAACACGTTTATACACATATGTTAGAATAAATATAAAATATCAATAAGTAGCAGGAGGTTTAAGATAAAATAATTAATTTTTTGACTCACCAGGTTGCACAAGTCTAACATCCAAAATTTTATCAACTTGTGAATTGTAAGCCGTAATGTGAAACACAGCTTCTGGCGCGTCTTGCACACACGCGATATTTACTGGCACTAAATCTTCGGAAACCTAAGAAAGCAAAAGTTTCATTACATATCATTATAACTACAAATTAAACGTGTATATATAATTCTTATTACCTGCTGCCATTTTACAGTTCCCGCGCCACTTGCTGACACATGAAAAACTTCAGCCCACAGTCTGCAATAATAATATAATGTTCGTGTAGTTTTATAAAAGTATTTATTTTTGAAAGATTTTAATTCATTCTCAAAAGTTTTACCTTAATAAATGACCATCCCTCCGTCTGGAGGTTTGCCAAGGGGAATCTTCATATCTATAAGTACGTTGAAATTAGATTAATAGATGGAATTGCTTTTTATATAGTATATTTCCATGAAAATGACAAACGTAATGTTCTTCGTACCTGTATCCTTTTCGTATAAGAGGAGCACACGAACAGCCAAGTTTGTTGCCCATTGTACCGCCACTAGAATTACAGTTGCAGCCTTCAGAGCCTGGAAATTAATTGTGATTAATTTCAATCGCATATATCTGATTAAATAAAACTAGTAATATATTCAATGTAGCAGTAGGTATATACAAGGCAATGTGTTCATTAAAAAATACTCAATGATATTTTCCTAGTTGTAAATATGAAATCATAGTTTAGTAGTCAAAATAATTCCGTAATAGGGTAGAGGAGGGCTTCGTGGTGCGCGGGTGGAGCGGGGCTTCTACCATTAAATTTACGAATTAGCAACAATATTTACGTAGAGGGAAAAACATGTGTGACCAGCCATCGCCTTGATTCTTATGGTATTGATATCAACAGATAAACGGCAATATTTGAAAATCCATAAAAAATTTTTTTTTTTTAAGTTGTGAGCACTGTTTTTTAGTTTACGAGACCTTAATGTAATTTTTAAGCCTATGGAGTATGAAGAACCAGGTTTCAAATTTTTGAAAAACAGCTGGGAGTTTTACTAAAAATAGTTGTTTGTTTGATATGTGTTACTTGTTGTGATATAATTGTTCTGGTTTTCATAATTTAATTGTTCAAAGCCAAATTGGACTTTTGTGTCCCGCCATTAATTATCAGTTCGATTTCAATATTTTATTCAATCTCTACTCTAACCAAGTATGCACTTTTTAAGTTTTAAGTTTTAAGTTTTAAGTTTTAAGTTTTAAGTTTTAAGTTTTAAGTTTTAAGTTTTAAGTTTTAAGTTTTAAGTTTTATATTTCACAGAATATAATTAGCAAAATCCTTCTTATCTCTTTATTTTGTTTTGTTTGTGAAATATTTGATCTGTAAAAATACAGTAAAAGTATGGCAACGATGTATAATCGATATTTTTCATTTTTATTTATTCGCACATAGTAACTGACATAAAAGTTATATAAAATTAAAATCAAATTCGGTTTGTAGAATATATAATGTTTTTTGTTACCATTATCTAGAGTTCTAACTAGTTTCATACGAATAATAATTAATAAATTTTTAACAGAAAATATGATTTTTTTCTCAAAAACAGAATGGATATAATTTTATTTGAATATATAACGCGTTTGAAATATATAATCTCACATGCACATCTATTTATTGATTTTATTTGAGTTTTGAGCTTTTTACATAAATCAAAGTTATACTTATTATTGCAACTCAAAACTGATTATTCAGAACTATAATATCAATTACTTAGAACAATAAGAAGTTTTTTTTCAGATAAAAAAGCCTGCATCTTTATCTGTTTTCTCTATATTTTCACATAAACACAACGTATGTGCAGATATATAAAAATTATAAATTATATGTTTCAAATATTTCACAAACTTCTGATTAATAATAAGTCAAATCAAATTTTCAACTATTACTATATAATCACAATCAAAAATAATATTTTTTTCAAATTTATCAGAGTTATTGTTTAAATTATCAACACGAACTGGCACACTTTCGACAACAGCTTTAGAAAAACTCCTATAAAATAACAAAGAACTAGTGGTGCATAGCATCGTGCTTAAGACAATTGCTGGAAATTACATTTTTGAATCTTGAAATTTTTGCAAAAAAAATTCACTTCTTTGAAAAAAAAATGTTTTGAAATGTTTTGTAAACTTAATACTTTTTTTCAAAGCAATCGCGCTGCTTTAGCTGCGTAGAAATGGAATATCGAAGCGCATAAGCGCCGCGTCGAAGTATAACGGATGAACAATGTTACGAAACTCATAGAAATGTAAAAAAATGTATACTTATTATTTGAATCTCTATAAAATATCTGATAATTTGATGTGCATATTTTTAATGATCATTTTTGACCGCCAAATTTTTTTTTACTTTTCCTACTCGATCCGAAACCGCTCGATTGGTAGTTTTAGCCCCGTATCTTCAAAACAACTTTACCTGCCTTGTTCAAAAACTAACCAACACGTCTCCTTATTAATATGAATCAAATGTTTTTTGAATCATCCAAATCGGTTGACCGTGTTTCCGAAATCGTCGACAAAAATTTGTATCCGCACACACACATACATCCATCTTTATAAGCTATGCCAAAACGTTCAAAAACCTTTGAAACGTAAATTTATGTAAAAATTTTCATTTTCGATTTTTTTGCGATTACTATAATTTACTCTACGGGAAGTTAAAAAAAGTCGTTTTGGCCAAGTTAAAAACAGATAAAATACTTGTAAAAAATAATAATAGTAGTTATATGGCCTATCCCAATAGGCCAAAGTACGAGAACGAGCTCGAGCGCAAGCGCATTGCCGGTGTCGTTCATGGGATGCTGATTATATTATATTTACCCGCGCACATTTATCGCAAAGGAGCGACGGGGAAACTCATTCTATGACGTAACCAGACGTAACTAAACCAGCCTTTTCAAATATAATTTAGTTTAAAAACGGAAAACTAAGCCCATATAAAAAATAAGTGACATTTGGCTGAAGGCAGGTTGGATGAACTTGCCTTCAAATAATTGACTTAGTCAATAATAATTAAGATTTAGCTATTTAAATAGAATTTTGCATTAAAAACTAATCAATTCAATTTCCAATTAATATCTATTAATCAGATATAGTCGGGTAGTGCGTGCAACAAAGCTTGACCAATTTGACTTTGAACAATTATATTATGAACCAATTAAATCGGAACAAGTTACACATATCAAACCAAAAACTATCTGACTATGTTCAGTAAAACTCTCAGCTAATTCATCATTGTGAAAATACGTTTTTCCTGTTTTTAAAAAAATTGTTACTTGGTTCTTTATACTCAATAGACCGGGTACAAAAGAACAGCCATCGGGCATACAGATACAATATATTATTTCTACGTAATAATAGCTACATTATTCAACCAACGCAAAACATAAATTTTATGGGTACATTTATTTCAGTGATATTTAATATCTAATATTTCGTCAGGAACAATCATCCGCATAGTTAGAATAAGTATTTATTTAGCTTATCTCCTGTAAAATTACTTTTCTTAACTTAATTTACTGTTTTATTTACTGTTTTTCATTGTTTACACCTTTGCCAGGGTAAAGGTTCAGTTGGTCGTTTTTACCCCACTCACATGTGAGCTTTTTATAAAGTTTGTATGAACAGAAACTGTTGAATCTAATTTAAAAATAACAATACATCTTATAAAACAATTAAATAGCGTGTACCTAAACGTTATATCAAGGTCTCGTAAACTAGACAATAGGGCTTAAAACAAAAAAAATAACGACTAAAGAAAACACTTTTGTTATGAATTTACAAACATTACCGTTAATCAACATGAATTTTTCATGAAGTTCTAACTTTACTCGTTTTTGAATTATCGGTGGTAGACCTATTTGCCCGTGGACCTTTAAGCCGCGCTCTACCCTAACAAAAATGAGCTCATAAATCCTAAAAACGCGATACATTATTCTAAACGGTAATAAATATCTAAAATTAAATCACTTAGTCGCAACCCCATAATATTTCAATATATTCTTTAAGAACGATTTCTTTCATCATAATAAAATCGACAAAAAAAAAATCAACAATTAAAAACGAAGAAACGGCCGGCTCATCTTTACAAAAACTAATCAGCGCGATTCCCAGCTTATATCATTATTATTATTTGCTCGTATTTGTTAACCAATGTAAAAAAAATGACTTGGCCAGGAAGATTTCATCAATGATTTTAACTTTTGAAATAGGTGCAACTGTTTAAAAAACGTCGACTACAGCTCAACAACAAATTTACGAATGCATTTTAAACACAACCAATGAGTCGAATAAAATTAAAAAATTAATAATATAAATATCAGTATACATATAAGAAAGTTAAAACTAATGTTTGAAATATTTTTTATATTTTATTGCCGGGTAGATAAATGCATCTACAAATAATTAATTTTTAACTTAATCAAATAAAATAATCAAATTTAAATTAAAATAAATAATTAATTTTAAATCTATCAAATATTATATATCGAATGATCATGACACTATGATAATTTTCCCCATATGTACAAAACAGATTCATTCATAGAAGCGTCTAATTTTTTATTGAGTTGCATTTTTACGATAATTTTTATTACTATCATTGCAACATTTACTTGCTATAAATTTAAAATAATTTCGTAAAAATCGTACCACATGAACTTTACTACTTACTAGTAAAACTTGCAATTAGAAAAATATTTAGTTGATTATTGCTCAGTGACGTATTTTGCAACGGTATAAATTGAAAATTGAAAATTTCAAGTATTGAATTAAACGTGATTTGCTTAAATTATACAGGTTTGAAAAATAAGTATGAGAACTAGGAGCTATCTATAACATGGGTGACTAGTAACAGACGTTTTTCAATAGGATCTTAAACGATATTGAAATATTTTTCTGTCTCTATTAGACATGTAAACCGTCCTGCATAATATTGTTATAGTGTCCCGCAGGACGACGCAATGTACAAAACTGTGCAGGACCGTCATTTTTATCAAGTAATATAAAATTGTACTACCATAAACTTTCGGTTTCGGTTATTATTATAGACTAATTTTAAATTTTATATATCTTATTTTGTTTCAAATTTATTAATTATTGAAAATGTGTAACAATATTTGTGATTGCTAAATTATTTGAATAGTCCTTTTGATTATATAATTTAAACAAATTGCACCTGGGGTTAAGTTGACCAAATTTGGGGTAGTTGTAACATACAAGAATTATATAGAAATTGAAGTAAAGAAGATTGGGTGGAATTTAGAGTTTGCAAGATGTGGGCATATGTAAATTGTGTTATAGAAGTCAGCATATCTTTTATTCGTATTTAGACTATAACTGTAGTTTACAGGAGACTTTACATATTTTATTTGTATTATTGTATTAATTATGGTTTACGTTGATTTATGGAAAGAATTACTTAGAATCAAGTCAATTTATTTAAAAATAAGCTAAGAGTAAGTTATCAGAGATATTGTTATCATTTTTTGTCG